GGTGGAGGGAGAGTCCTCTCCTGTCAGACTGAGAGGCTGATAACTACAGCTCAGGTGAGGTTAAGGACTCTGAGTTTTTGCTTAAAATAAGTTCACATGGATAGGTTCCTAAATACATTTGCACATTTTTTAAAATAGTAACCCATGTCCATATGTTTATTTTTGGGTATTAGATTTAAACTATAGGGCTATCACTATGGGCAGCAACGCTGTAAATATTGACAAATAAATCCAGCAAAATGGCACAAAAAAAAACTGGTAGTGGCCTGGCTAGGTGTATAATTCCCGGCCTGACTTATTGTCCCAGTCCGGCCCTGGTCAGGGTGATGTCTTTATGGGGCCCTGCATGACGCTGAACCATGTTATGTTCACCCTCCTAAAAAAGGAAAACCAAAAGCCTTAATTACCTCTCACAAGGCTGCTGAAGTTAATTTCTGTAGTCACATGTTCAAGCAATTACTCAGAGTGTAATGAAGTGGAACTTGGCTCACTAGAGTTCACAGGACTCCCTCTGCATCCCTTTTTCCTAGCCTAGTTTGTCTATTCTAGAGGAATCATCACAACATTAAACCAGGCAATACTTCACTCTGGATGCATACATTTATCCGTGTCAATATCCATTCCTCCTTTAATAATTTCTCCACAGCTATCTCAATATCACGGGCTAGTGAGTGAGGCGGGGGAAGCGCATTATCTATGTCGGGGTGTTACAGTATTAGGGATTTTCCCTGACAGATAGTTTCCCTTCCAGGCACCATTAGCTTGGCCTCATCCCATTTGGTATTTCCAACACCTGCGAAACACCATCCGCCGGGCACAATAATTATTACCATTGTATTTTTTTAGGGTATATATCATGGAGATCACAAGCAACTACTTTAAATTTCTGGACTGTGACCAAGTAACACATCCTCCCCAAGGATGCCAAGGGCCTGCACATCATTAAAATGGAGTTGTGCTATCCGACAGGAGGACAGTGCCAGCTCCCTCACTTGTATACCTCACGGGATTGTGGCCTCTGCATTCCCACAATATGCATAATGGGTACTGTCTAAGGCTAAATGCAATCAGGGTCCTTGAGTCTGACTTTGAATGCTAAATGAACACACGAGTTTGCGGGAAGACGGAATAAAGTTGATCAGCTTGAAAGTGAAAGCGGACAGCTGACTACAGCGAACATAAATTAACATCGATCACAGGGCCGCGCACGTACGCTAATGACTCAAGGCTGCAGGGGCTTGTTAGACAACCTCTGCAATGGACTGTAATGGCTCCCATATCCTTGCAATCCACTAAATACCAATGGCCAAAATTCCTCATTAAGCATCCTCATATTGGCAAATTATCTGTCTTGGATTCTCACGCATGCTTTTGGATGTTAGATATTTTCTAGACTAAATAGCTCAAATAGTGCCATTACTGTAGATCTATCTCATGAGTGGATGACTCTCATTATACTGTAAGCTTCTAAGTAGTTTAAACTCAAATTCAGGAACAGAACATGACTACCAAATAAGTCTGATCAATACAAATAACTTATGTATGAGTTTATAAAGTAGCTAATTGTATCTGTCAGTCAAAATGAGAACACTTTCAAGATGTGGGATTTCTAAAGTTTCTATCTGAGTCTAATTTGAACCGCTCTGAGTTTCTGTGGAGCTTGGCAAGCGCAACTGATTTTAAAAACATATTGATTTGGAATGACTTACAGATGCTGGCCTATAACAGTATTGATCGCGGATAGGCGTTTTGACAAAATGTCTGGAAAACATTTCACATCGATTTAAAAGTTTCTCAGAGACCAATATAAAAGGTCTGCTTCTAACTGTAATTGTCATATGAAGCTTTGAGTGCTTCACTTAGCACCTATTCATCCAGCACTGTAATCAACATATAGTGTTACCTTTGATTCTACTGAGAACAGCACAAAAGAGCGGTGAATTGAAAGAATATCTAAGAATATCTTGAAAGCTCCGAGTCTCAAGTAGGTCAAATGAGAAATGAAAAATGCAGCATTGTCTTCGTGTTACATGGATAAAGTTTCTACACTGGATTTCTCCGGAACAGGGCGAATATATCAACCCAGTGCATCTCATAAGGAGAGACATCAACCAAATCTCTTGCTCCATCGATCCATCTCTCCATATTTGATTGAGACTAATGTCAAGACTGTGGGCAGGAGGACAAACACAAGGCCAAAAGGTTAAAAAAAAGCGGAAACCAAATCAATAATGATGACTGACAACATGAAGCGTGAATGATCCGCATTGCAACCTCCTCAGAATATATAATGGAGAGCGGGATAAATCTACTTCACTCCCTACACCGCTAATGCGTTTTTCTCCCTTCTTCTCTTCGTGATAAGTGATTTTGTTTTGTTGGATCCATCTGTCTGATAAACTATTTACTACATGCACTGAAACAAAAGGCAAAGAAAAACCACAGGAAAAGAAATGTTGAGTATTGAGCATTTTGTGTTTTGTTTTAATGAAAGTTAGTACAAGTATGCACATCTAAGAACTTTACATTGTGTGGCATTAGTCAAAATGTTGTCTGAGGGAGTGTCAGAGTTGAAGAGCTGCTGGTGTAGCAAACATCAAACAAATGGTAAATGGTAAAAGGACTGTACTTATATAGCGCTTTATCCAGTCTTTACAACCCCTCAAAGCGCTTTACATACTACATGTCATTCACCCGTTCACACCCATTCATACAGAGCAGTGTACCTTACTCTAGGAACTAACATTCATACACACTCACACAGTTGGCCATGCCATCGGGAGCAACTCAGGGTTAAGTATCTTGCCCAAGGATACATCGACATATTGACTGCATGGGCTGGGATCTAACACACAATCTTCTGGTTGAAAGACGACCGCACTCCCTCGCAGCCTCAGTCGCCCAAACAACTTCATCTACTTCCAAACGTTTTTCAGTGGAAATGTGCTTTGGAATTTAAGTTCTTCACATGCAATGACGGAAACCTAATAAGAGTGTCCCTGACTAAAAAATGATGTAGTCGTATCTCATTGGTAAAGTGTAGTCTATCATCAACTCATCAAATCATGCTTTTCTTACTTACTATTTACAGTCATTTTTAAATGAAAAAAGACGGAACAGTTTTCTCTAGCCTGCATATTATTCGTGTTTGTTATGGCATCTTTTACCCTAATTGCATTCCTGTCAATTTAGCAATCTATAGACAGAAGGGAAACAACACAGTTTGGTCCATGACTTCAAAATATATTCAGCACTCTGGTTTCCTTGTCTCAAAGTCAACGTTTTTTTGAATGTGTTTGTGGTTAGATTCCTGAAATAAGATCTGTGGTTAACACAAGCTTTAGAGGTTTTCACGTTAGGTTCTATGACATACAATGCGTCAGTAAATACCCGACTTGTCAATGTGTGAAGCTTCTATGTTTCATAAAAGTGTTGGTTGCTAACAAGTGACTGACAAAGACTACTACGCGTTATCATGGCGAACCTGCCAGTCCGCCTTTAGCCTAGCGGTGGTGATGGGCAGCCTTTCAACCGTAGTGTAGTTTGTTTATAGCCAAACAATAGCTTTATACTTCTGGCAATTGCATTTACGCTTAATCGCAAAATGATGTTATGTTGTTAATATGATAGCCAAACAGAAAACTGATATAGTCTTAACTTTTATGTTGTAAGCTAACATTTCCTTATTGTCACAACCCGTAACATGATGCAATAATGGTCAGGGTTTGATTTGTTTAAGCCCTCATTGGAAGTCATATTATGGCCTCCCCTCACTTTCATAAGGGAAAATGCAGATTCAGATGATAGTTCTCTGCTTGAAATTCTGATTATAAAAGCTATTAACAATGGGCACCCAACACCTAGATGTGTTGGAGTACAGACTGCACTGTAACCCTAACCCTAACCCATAGACTGCATTAAAGGTCCCATGTCATGGCCATTTCTACTGATCATATTTGCATTATTGAGGTCTACTAGAATAGATTTAAATTGTGCAATTTTCCAAAATCACATTGGTTTCTCATACAGCATCTCTGTATAGTATGTGTATTCACCAGGTATTCACTCTCTGTCCTAAACGGCTTGTTGGAGTGCCAATCCGGTCATTTGTTGTTGATTTGGGTGTTCACACGTCACAGAACCCAGGAAGAAAACAATGGAAAATGAGAAATCTCCAACGAGGCGTTCTGGGGCAGCATAGACAGGTCTTTTCTGTGTTAGAGTTTTATTCGCTACAGGGTGTACTTTGAGGGTTTGTGACTTTGCAGACCGTTTACATGCATAAAAACCTTCATAACACACAAGGGGACGGGTAATAACCGGAAAAGCATGACATGGGACCTTTAAGTTTCATGTGATATTATTTGACAGTGTTGGCTAAGTTGTCTTTTCTAGTTCTAAATCAATGGCAATAGTTCTTGGCATCATGGTCCATGGTGTCGTTGTGAAGTGGTTTGAAGGATTTTCCGACTTAAGTGTAGTTTTCTCATTCCCTGTGATATACAGTAGACTGTACATTAATACATCACACATTTTGCTAGAGTAAATATGTTGAACTAACAGTTTTTCAGAGAGCTTAGCGTTACTTTTGGCAGGCGGCTGTGCTCATCTGTTGCCGCTGCTGCAAGCACCTTTTTTTTTCTTTCTTCTATTTCATTTTTTTTATGCTTGACTTGCTCCTGGGAGATAGTGTAGCAGCGATATGTGTACACTAAATATCAGCTCCCCGGTATCAGCTGCTAGCCGGCCCTTCGGCATGGGATCTTGGCTCGGCTTATTTGGTTGGATGAATTATTAATGGCTCACCGATTTTCCACAAGTTCCAGCATGTTTTATTTTTTCTTTCCAGAAGGCTTGTTGTAGATGGCATCTCCTCATCTCCACATAACTCATTTGCCCTGCTTTTTCTTCCAGAGCCAAACGGAAAGAAGCGTCTGCCGGGGAAATATTCTACGCTCTCTGGACTGGATGGGAAGAAGGAGAATCTTTGACCTTGGAAAATGAAGATGTTGTTGCCATGGGAACTGTTAATCCTTCTGTTACTCAAAGAGTGCCTGGCTGGTAAGAGGCCAAGTCAAGACGTTATTATACACCTGATATACATACATATAAGGCTGGGTGTCATTTCAAAATTGACGATACCGGCACCAATATGGGTGCCCTTAACGTGATAGCAATACCAATACAGAATATCGTTTGGTGGCTTTGTTGTACTCCATGCAACAAACATCCATCCATACATCCAGCATACATGTGAATGGAAGAATTCATGGCGTAAAATGCCACCACCATTATTCAATTGTATTCAATTCAAATCTAAGGTTAATTTTCATCATGCAATAATGTTTCTAACTTCAAAACCAATATATTTTACTCTTAAAACCTGTTATATTAAAACAATTCTGTACATTTTTATAAATCTGTGAGCATTTTTTATATTATAATAATAATAATAATAATAATAATAATAATAATAATAATAATAATAATACACAATTATAATTGAATATTTGGAGGTTTTAAAGTGCTATATAAATAAAGTTGGATTGGATTGGAATATGTAATGATTGCCGTCTCAAAAGGGATCATACATTTTAGAGCTTTGTTATTTGGTGAACATGTAGTTTCTATTTCAAAACCTTGTAAATCTTTTGATTTTAATCAATTCTTAAAGGATAGGGGAACATTTCAGGGTAAACAAAAGCCACAAAGGCGGACATTTAAATGTAGTGGTGTAGTTTCTATTATTTAACTAAATGAAGTTCAAGTGAAACCGCCTTGTTTCATTCTAAAGATTAACTATTATAGTTAACTTCAACTCTGCAGCCCGACTTTAAAAGTTTTCTTCAGATCAGCTCTGATAAACTTGACTCACTGTTGGATCTACATTTGAAGGAAGATAGAAGAGGAATTCACCATCTCTCCTCTTTCCACACCTTCCTGTTTTACTATGCAATGTCCCTGGTTTATGCCCAACTGCTGCCACTAACATCAAATGTGGTAAGCACTATAAACATCAACAACTCTTTTCCTAACGCTAATTTATTCTGCACTCTCTCTCAGCAGCCGAGTAACACTATCTTTCAGCTCCCTAATACATAGACAAACTACAGCTACGGAGTCCAAATCTCTCCAAGAGCTCTCACTTTATGTCTGAATACTAAAACCTCCACAAAGTGAGAGTTAGAGATTTATTTTCAACAGTCACATTTAACGGATAAACTGTATACTGAACCTAAGCCAGCATTTTACAGGTCATCAAAATAAATACATTTAAATTCATACAGCAAATGGAGTGGGGTCTGTTGTGTTGTGCTTCTATTCCCATTGATTTAGCATCTCATCCCGAGTCAGCACTTTCACTGCGGGTGTATCTGTGCAGGCTGGAAACACACCACACGAGAATGCGGTGCTATGCAAATGTCAGCGCGTGCTGTATTGTACATACATATAGCTGCTATTGAGCTCACATTTGCATGCATTCCCATGAAAACTAATTTAGAGTCATTTGCATGTGTGTGTGTTTTGGTGTGCTAGCGGTCTGTCCAGTCGGTGTGTTTACAGGGCAGCAAACACACCATCCACCCGATCATTTCCCAGGTGAAATAGCCCGACTAAGGCTCATTAATTTGCTTAATTTAAAGGACATCACGCGCAGGGTAAAAATGAGGCACCTCCCTCAGAGACCGGGGCCCTTACCTGAAGCAAAAACTCCCACTCTCATTAGGATTATAATGGCAGTGCCCATGATGATGATGATGATACGGGAGGGAGCACTCTTTGTCCTATTCAAGGTTAGCAGCAAAAATGTAAAAAGCAAGCAGGTTCTTCAAGAGGGAAACACAGGCGTGAGGCTCGGCGTATGACACATGATGTTAGAATAACGGCAGTATGTGCGTCTATTGAAGAAATGTTGGATTCCACGGGGGTAATTAGTGCAACATCGGTTAATTACTCCTGTGTATTGATCGTTCTGCTGGAGCTAACCAAGTCAAGCTCGACTGAGCACACACACACACGCACACGCACGCACACACACACACACACACACACACACACACACACACACACACACACACACACACACACACACACACACACACACAGTAACATGCATACACAGCTTTGCAGGCTCTCTGATAATTAGATTATATCCATAGTAAGGCAATACACTGATATTGCAACTCTCATGGAAATACCTTAACCATGTTATGCTACTTGCATCTAGATCATAATGAAATAAAGCGTAACTCAATTAGCCAGCCGGGTTACTTGACACTGTTTGTAATTAATGTTGGCATGTAATATAGCCTAGACCAATGTCTGTTTGTATTTTGATTCTGTGCATGTACAGTTAAGTTTACAGTGTAAGATAGATTGTAAAGCCCTTGCACTCCAGATAAAATAGTCCAATCTTAGCTTAGCAACCAAACATATGTACAGAAATCATTTGTGTTCATGGTACTGATGTTATGGCAATATTTGAGAGAGTTTGGAGAATTTTCTTTTATAATATGTCTCTCCAAAACTAAAAACACAATAGCAGTAGTGTACAGAATGGATTAAAACTGCTCTAACATACGCAACTGTTAGCCTTTTTAGCCAACTAGCTTACCCACTGTAGTATACCTAACACACACGTTTCCTCAAAGGCAAAGAGGAAGCATTTCATTCATATATTTTAATATTATGAACTTGTGATGTTGAATATCCAAATGTTGTTGTTAGCCAGGATCCATTCAAATACATTGAAGTTTTTTTTACAACATTTCTAGTCTCTACTACAGGATGCAAAAATATGACAAAAAGTGCACCAGTCAAACCACAAATTTTATTTTTCACCTCATCCAAACACAATGCCGTGATATTGTTCGGCGTTTGCGTTTTTATACGTTAAATAAAAAATGTGATGGATGGTGGCCCAAGTGCAGGGGCGGACTGGCCATCGGGCCGAAGGGTACTGAAGTGGGCCGGTCGGACGATGTGGGCCACTAGCATCGGATAAGTCTCATCGCATCTGCCTCTTGACATGTGAACAAGACGGTTTATTAAATGCAGAATCCACTCAAAGTGCTGCGCTGGCAGCTAATTATATGGGTCTAGAGTAACATACAGCTTTCTGAGCACTGAGTGATTTATTTTTACATTAATTCAATGTCACTTGCACATCATCATTGTGCAGCTAATTCTTTTTTTTTCCCCACACAGAGAATACACGCCATGGTCCTGTCTTCACTCAGGAGCCGAGTGACAGCATTTTCCCCCTGAGCATTGACGATAAGCAGGTGTTCATTAATTGTAACGCAAGAGGAAACCCAACTCCTCATTATAGGTACGTGTTTTGCCTGCCCTTTGACCGTATATAAAGAGCAGTGTATGTGAAAATGATGGTACAAAGCACTCTCCTGAGCTGTGAATGATACCAGGCCGTGTTGCTGTATTAGCTTCATTTGCATTTCAATGTAGTCATGCAGCCGTAGTCAGAGAGTAATTATGTTTTTACCCATGGGTACTCAGTGGATTCAGTGGTATTCAATGGAAAGATTAATATATTTTGATTATGTTCCTACAGGTGGAAAATGGATGGGAGAGAGATAAACACAGAGTTGGATCCGAACTTCAGCCTGGTGGAGGGGAACCTGCTGATCAGTGATCCTCGTGTCATGGATCATGCAGGAGTGTATCAGTGCATCGCCACCAACACATTCGGGACTGTCATCAGCAGGGAGGCAAAGGTCCAGTTTGCATGTGAGTCTTAAGTGGATTTCCGTTCTGAGAATACTGTTACTGACATGAACTTGTGATACATTGAATCAACTTTCTTCCTCTTTGATTTGTTCAGAAAGTTTGCACAACTAAATAGTATAATGAAATATTCTTTCTAGGGCTGCTACATTTCATTTGTTGGTGGTTAATTAATCATAGACCATCAGATCAACAACCTAAAAACCAATGATATGAAGTGACATGTCATAACAGAGTAGCCAAACCAGTGAACCCAGAACATTTTGAGAATACATGCTTTAACCATTTCTTAATAAATAATGGATCATAAAAAGAATGTTGATCTGTATCCACTATTAAATAATCGAATGTGACTCTAATTAAGAAATTAAACGGACTACTTTTTTGACCATGTACGTACAGTATGTATTATAAGTGTGTTTCTAGGAGCAGCAGAGTAGTTAGTCTGTAAATCAACCACTTTGCACAGAGACACATATCTGGATAAATGTTGGCCTGTCTTACATGCCATTTTCTTAATCTTACATAGCACATAAGCTACCCCATGGTACTCTCATTTGCAAAACTAGTTATATATGCATGCTAAGATGCCAGACATTATGCTCAATGGGTGCTAGTTAGATTATAGATTTATCTTCACATTTACACTTATTCTAGGGTCAGGTTTTTTTTAAATAAAATATTGGGAACATGCTCCTTTTTCTGATTGCAGTGTAGCAACAGCAGATTTGCAAATACTACTGGTTCAACCCTGCAGTCTACAAAATTGCATTCCCAAACCACTAAACTGCATTCTCAATCACGCTTATAGTACATAGAGCTGTACGTTTTATCACATGGTCAATGTTAAAAAATGTGCAACATAACTACTTGGTTGTGTTTAGTAAAATATGTTTTTTGCTTAAAATGGTTATGTCTGTTTTATTATTGACGAAGTACATTTTACTAATCAACTAGCGGCAAACAATTGACCCATCCATCCACCCCAAATGTCTTCTTTCTTTTGATAACTCAAACCAAACGTTGCCCTAGAAACTAAATTGGCCATGCAGGTTTGTTGGATGGGAACATTATCTTTAGGACACCGTCATCTGCTCTCGCCAGTTTTTTTTGGGATGCTGTATTTATATTTATAGCTTTCAACAATCCAAACAACAATAAGCTTCGTCTCAGGAAAAGCCTCCACTGCATTATGAGGCTGAGAGCTCTGGGTAGGGCATGCAAATGTGATTGTCGCATGTCATAATAGTCATAATGTATTCTTTCTGAACACACCTTGTATCCAAGTGTGCCATCTCTGATTTTACGTCAATCTGCATGTCTGAATTGACAGTGTTACCTCTTTTACTAGCCCAGTGGATTATATGAGGAAATGAGGACTGCATGCTTTAATTTGTAGGATTTATTATCCGACCAGTTTTGATTTGACCACAGCTGATATTTGCTCGGTCCCTCCTGGGATTTAGTTGGTATTTTTAAGACTTGGGGATGGATATGTCTTCCCACTGTTTATTCTCTCACGCCGCACAGCAGCATTTCATTAAAGGTGAACGAAATCTCTCTGGGCGCTTTGGTGCACCCTTTGCCAAATCACCTGCTTTCACTGGGATATAAGCAGACAGAGGAAGTGTATTCTGCAGAATGAAATGCCCTCCCTGGATGTCACCTTTGACTTATTTCAGCTGCAACACAATGAAAAGTTGTGTTTGTTTTCTATCCAACAGTTCTGCAGCACTTTAGCATGAAGTCCAGGAACACGGTGTCGGTGAGAGAGGGTCAAGCCGTGGTTCTTCTGTGCGGGCCTCCACCCCATTACGGAGGTACACTCCTAACTCTTCTTCATTATCTGCTGTAGTCACACACTCCTGCTTGCGTCAGCAGTTTTTATTGTTCCTCACTCTGCTGCCTATTATCTCCCTGTAACACCGCGCTGTGTCTCTTTTGTTTTTATACCTTGCCACCTTCCTCTCTTACTCTCTGACACGCTGCTTTTCCACTCACTCCTCCTTATCTGCCAGACTTTTTATGATCAGCCAGCGCTCTACCTGCCCAGACTCACGCCTTCACATCTATAGTTCACAGCCTCGCACTTCTTAACCTTGAGCTCACTTCTTCTTCGCCCGTATGATCTGTGACCGTGCTGTCATCTATAAGGTCTCCGGTGCTCCACTTCCTGGAACTGCCATTTTTCCTCCATGGCTGTGGGCAGGTTATCCGTGGGTAATAAAGTCAGCTTGTGGCTGCTGTGGCAGGGGGAGCGTTTATCCCGTGGCACAGCTGCGAGTCGGCTCATGTGTCTGTGTGTTGCTGATTAGCAGACCCTCAAAGTGGTCCGCACTCCTGCAGCCATTCGGTGCCCACCAGCGCAATTTCACGCTGGCGCACCAGCCATTCTCAGTTCCCTGTTGCCAGCCGAATCCCCACGGCCACAGGGGAATCCACTCTTTAGCAATTTTTCCCTCCAGCCTCCCCATCCTTTTAAAAAATCCCTCCCTCTTTATATGTCTCCTCTTTAAACACAGCATTACCGCACATATGATGGGATTAAACACCACACGATAAAGCTAGCTTGAGGTGAAATTGAAAAAGGGTGCCTTTAAAGGTCACCTATTATGCAAAATCCACTTTTCCATGTCTTTTATATAAATATGTGTCCCCTGTGTTTAGAGATTCTGAAAGTTTCAGGAAAAAAGACCCCCTCTCTTTTTGTCCTGATCCATTTATATAAAAACCTGTCTGAAAATGAGCTGATCAGATTCTGGCCACTTTATGATGTCATAACGTTTTTTGCGGTTTTGTAACCTTAGCCGATAACCAACCAAGGTAACCTCCCCGACCTTATCACCTGATATCTCGCAGAAGGGCGTGGGGAGTGGCTCCTTATTTTCATCTAAAGTAACAGACAGAGAATCAGCACTTTTGAAACAGGGCTGAAACAGAGGGGATTATGGGATGCTGCAATGATCTGTTTGGTGTTTGGAGCCAAACACTTCAGAGACATGTTTTGTATATATCTGAGACCTATAATATATTGATGAAAAACAGTATAATAGGGGACCTTTAAAGCCTTGTTGATGCACCACTCGAGGAGCACCTGAGTAAAAAAGGGAATCATCTGAAGCTTTTTTGTGCAATCAATACCTTAGTGGTCTAAAAGGAGCCGTGCTGAGAGTTAAACTCTTGTCAGAGGACGTTAGATTATTTGCCTGCGAGTCCTCTGTTGCTGAGAGACTGCAGCTCTTAAACAGACCCGGTCTCTGATAGTTCCTAATCATAATAGCTCTGTCACTTTCTGCCCTGACTTTTTCCCTGTAATGATTCTAATTCACTGTTTTCCCTCAAGGAAGCGCGCACGACATTGTTACCATGTGAAAAGGGCTGCCTGCAGAATGTCATGTGTCTAATACAGGAGGGCTGCACTAATAGCCTCTGATCTCCCAGCAGACATCTCTGCCTCGCTGTCTCCCGCTGTGTCTGCTTTACACATTCTCATCATTCCCTTCTTTTCTTTACTCTGACACGAATCCTCCTCGTTAGTGTGTGTGCGTGACAAGAGTTAAGGATCAACTAGGATAGATAATGCCTGCACTATCTTAAACACAGACTATGATCAAGTTAGCACCGTGTTTGACATTTTGACCTGCTTTTTAAATACCATTGTTGCTTGATGTTCCTAGCGTTGCTTCTTAGTCAAAGATAAGGCAAGAGTTATTCTGTTTTTCTCATTGTGTACAATTCACATAAAAAAAACACCATTACACAAACTGTTAAACCTCGGCATTCAGATGGAAAACGGCGCTGTGTTAAAAGGAGCTAAGGGCTGATTTGGTGGAGGCTTGCTGTTTCAGGGACCAGTGAGACAATGAAATAAAATCCAGGAGAGCAGGTTTGAGTAATAGATCCATGAGTTTAAAGGCAGGTAAGATGCCAAAACACTGCCATTTGTTGTAAACTCTGTGTTTTGACATTACTGTGCAATCATGTAATTCTCTGCTTCAACAATTGGGAAATAAACAGCAGAAATGCTTCGCCCACATTGAAGTCCACTATAAATGTACCTTTACACATGTTCATTGGAGGAGGAAGTTCAGTTAGCTACTTCTTTTCAGCATGAACATGATCTTGATGGAGACATCTGTGTGGTCACCCCCCCGCTGAGCAACACAGCGGTGCAATTCAAAGGAATAAGGGAGTGCCATTATTTCACACGGTCTGTCTGAACTCTACTTTAGTCCATCTCTGACTTCCTGACTCATTTCCGAGCCAATTCATTCCTACTGAAGACTTTCGGTTTGAAAAATGGAATGAAAACTAAAGGAGGGTTTTGGTACATAAATATATGTACTGTGGACTCAGTTGTGGACAAATTCTCACTTTGTGTACTTGTTAGTATATCTTGAATTTCTTCCAGCTGTTAAGATCAGTTGTGTAAACAGTTTATTGCATAGTATGTTTTCCTTACAGATGAGCTGTGAATTTGAGGTGCCGTAGTTAATATGACGGTAGCAAAAAAGGACTCCAAGTGATGTATTATAGAGAGCAACACAGTCTGTATTGAGAGGATGTTAAAATAAATGGGTCAAACAAACAGGACTTTTACCCAGGAGACTCATGTTTGACCTTGTTAAACGAAAAGTCAGTGTCAACATATTTTAACATACATACGCTAACTTTAGTAAGTTCATACATAACATTCTTATCGTACCTAAGTAGCACACTTGCTTATTTTAAGCCAAAATCATCAGCAAATCATCTTGCCGGACAGGCTTTGGCTACCCTAAAAATACATTTTACAAAATGTTTTCTAAAATAATAATATTAAATATCACAAACCTTATTCTTTGGAGTCACCTAATATTTATATTTTAAGCCGAGGAATATAATATCATATCATTTATTTGTAAAACTATCTCTCCCTGTTTGCAGGTCATTTTGGGAAGGTCACTGGATTCTGTTTTTACACCCTGTTCCCTTTTTTTTTCAGAGATAAAATATTCCTGGGTTTTCAACGGTCAGCGGAACTTCCTGCAACAGGACGCCCGTCGCTTTATCTCTCAGAGGACAGGCAACTTGTACGTGGCCAAAGTTGAAGCCTCCGACGCGGGGAACTACACGTGTGCGGTGAGAAACATGATGACCAACGCCACAGTGCTCAGCTCTCCAACCCCTGTGGTGGTGCGGAGAGACGGTAAGCCCCCTCGGTTCTTCTCCGCTGCCTCCTGGTTATCTTACGCACTGAACTGACACGCGAGCCCGGGAGATAAATCGCTTGTCTCGAGCGTGACAATGTTTTTGCTTTTTGTTTACGAGCTATGTTTTTTTGCAGCTCTCAAATCCCTGGAACTATTCGGGGTTATGTCTTCGAGAACCCGCTCTCTATCAGCATGAAGGCACATATTTACATAACAGGAGATGTAGTCCATGCTGACATAAATGCATGTAGGCACACACAGCAAGCAGCCCGCCTCACATACTAACCCCCATCAGGACCGTTTATGTGAACCACTTCAGATTTGAGCTGAGGGAGATATGTAATCCGAACTCATCCATCCGCCGAGCCAAACGCTGTTGTTCACGATGCCAACACGTTCTTTGCCAGTGTAATTCGTGCCACGTCCAATATGAATTACAGGAAACTGCATGTCCGTGTTCTGTATTTCGACTGATGTGATTTGCATTTATCCTTCCTCTTAGTGATGGGCGAATACGAGCCAAAAATTGAGGTTCAGTTTCCCGACACCCTTCACATCTCGAAAGGATCATCAGTGAAACTGGAATGCTTCGCCTTAGGAAAGTAAGTATCAGGAACATTAGCACACTGCATCTCTCCCCCCTCACACTGCATTGTCACTTTGAAGTGTTCTTTCATTCAAAGTCCAGGAGTTAGTTAAAAGTAGACAAGGAAACTCCTCGGAAAATGTAAGGGTATTTATTAAAAAAAATGATGTGGTAGGTTTTACAAAAGTTCACAGCTGGTTCTGAAATGATACACACCAGTCCATAGACCACTCAGAGCAGTTAACTATCTGTGGTGCGAAGAATGAGAGAGAAAGTATTTTCCCCGTACATTGTCATTTATATCATTTTGCTTCAGTAAGTAATGTCCTTTAAAGTTCCGGCACATATATATTGATTTATTTCTTACAACTTTTTATGAAGTTGCCAGACATACTGTTTTACAACAAACGGACTGGAAACAATTGTCATGACAGTCCTTTTGGTCAGTGTGAGCAGGAGCATGTGGCCATCGTGACCTTTTGTGTGTGACCTCTGCAGCCCGGTGCCTTCCATCTCCTGGAGAAGAGCTGATGGAAATCCACTCCCTGGAAAGATTAAAATCAACCACTCCAGTGGGGTTCTGGAAATCCCATATTTTCGCCCAGAGGATGCCGGTGTGTACGAGTGTGTTGCCGAAAACAGCAGAGGACGAAATGTAGCCAGAGGGCAACTTCTATTCCAGAGTAAGAGCCTTGTAAACTTTTGTTTCCTGTTTTCATGGAGATGCTTGCACAACTTCTTCTTTTTAATCCTTAGATGGACAAGGACTTGTGAATCATTTGGAAATTAATTGAAAGCTACTTTCTAAGATTAAATTACGCCTTTCAAGATTTTTCTTAAAAAAATTACTTTTATTTTTCATCTTGCACCATTTGGGTATACATTTATATATAATTAACCCCGTATTATACTGTTATTAAACCATTTTAACATCCAAATGACACAAATAAAGCCAATATTATTCCATATTACACCATTATGACACCCATATTACACCTTTTTTTACACACATATTATTACACCATTATTACCGCATTCTTTCACCCAAATAAAACATAAATAGTACCAATATTACACCTACATAACACCATAAGTACACCTATATCACACTCATAAACACACCTATATTACACCTTTACACTGTTATTGCACCGATTTTAAATCAATATTACACATTGACAACATCTGTCAAATTATTGTATCCCCAGGTTTAATAAATAACTTAAAGGGTTAATCCAGGAATGTAGTTTTTGTGTTTTTTTGGACGGTAATTTAAAATGCTTGATTATGAGTTTTAGCCAAACAAAATGTAGTTATTTTGTATTCAGTTCGTTTGTCTGTCCTCCTTACTGTGATGGCGATGTAAATATTTGACCATTTCTTTTAACCGCTGCATTGAGGTAATAATTAGATGACTCATGTGTCAGAATAGGATTCAAATGTCAGGGTATTTTGGCAACTTCCATACAATCACATAAATCAGCTTTCAAACTGAGAGCTTTGAAATGAGTCACCGTTTGCTTCGGTGAATGTGCACAACTGTGTTCTATAGACAGAGGGATGAGAGAAAGTCCTCTATTTGCTGAACTTGTTGATATCGACATTGAAAAGATGGGTTTTTGTTTCACGTTGAATAACTTACCTGCCTCTGATTCTATGGCATCTCATGTCAGATGTGCAAAACATGAAGGCGTAAGAGGTTGTTGACACAAAGCCATTCAAGGTGCTTTAGGTCCTCAATTCAAAGCAGATAAGTGATAAACCTTTACTAACAAATCCAAATGAAATAAATCCTTTAAGAGAAATTAAAATATATATCAAAATAAATTAATTAATGTACAAGGTTGAAAATAGTTAGAATCAGTATCAGAAGCAGGTTTATTACCAGGTAGGTTGACACGTACGAGGAACTTGATGTCACGGTGCCTCTTATTGCATTATATTGGAAAAACTAAATCTAGCTGCAAAATCATTTTGACATTTTTTCCGATTAATATTTATGTATTGGTATTTTTCACAGATGTTGAGCATCTGCACTGGGTCCAGACACTGAAAGATGCTCATATGGCAATAGATGCTAATCTGCAGTGGGAATGTAAAGCCAGTGGGAAGCCGAGGCCGGCGTACAGATGGCTGAAGAACGGTCAGCCGCTGACACCAGAGGTAACACTGCACAAGTTATTTTGATTTTACACCCACCTTTTTTCTCAAACAAAGGTCTCCTTCAGCAGTAAATCAGTAATACATCTTACTATTGTTGTTAAAGCTACACTGAAAACCTATAAACCAAAGGATTATATATGTATTTGTTTTTTTAATTTATCTGTTTATTTATTTGTTGTTTTATGTTTTTGTTTTGTTTGTTTGTTTTTCAATAACAAATGTATTTCTTCACGAAAAAAATAAATATATATTTATATATATATGTGTTAATAATGTAGATGGTGGGAGAAGGGGTGGGATTAAATCAGTGTAAACTTCTTCCAAATCAAAATCAAAAATATAAAAAAACCTTTGAATGATGACCTGATGACCTTATTCACAGGGGAGGATCCATGTGGAAGATGGCAGGCTGACCATATCCAGCATCACTCTGTTGGACTCTGGGATGTTTCAGTGTGTGGCAGAAACTGAGCACGGAGCTGCCTACGCCAGCGCTGAGCTCAAGGTTGTTGGTAAGCAGTTTGTTTTACAACCATTTGAACCAGAGGTAGAGATATACTGTACACATATTGTGTTAGTGGAACGAAAGTGCTTCCTGTGTAAATAAATAATAAGAGGCTGCTCTGGCTTTTCACTGAGTCATGGCCTCGCTTCCTCATTTCCATAATTCTTTCATACAATAAGGCATACTGGTGGCGAAATAACATTTCCGTAATTGCTGGTGATGCACTTGACATTTTTGCTGATGCACGGCTGTTGACCCCTCCACGAAGCGAGACAAATGGCCTTAAAACACGGATCTGTTCCTCAGCCTCCCCACCGGACTTCACCCGACGGCCCGTGAAGAAGTCAACAGTGATGCAGCGGGGGGGCGAGGTGGTGCTGGAGTGTCGCCCCCACGCTTCCCCCAGGGCCGCAATATCCTGGTGGAGAGGGGGGGAACTCCTCCAGGGGGGCAAGAGGTAGGGTACTGCATGCAACGCTGTTTATTCAATTGATGGCATATTGTCACCGGCTTGAGCTTCAATATCAGGATACATGTATTTATTATCCTTGCAAGAATGGAAGTAGTCATCACATACAGAGCATCAACTAGTTCCTGAACAGTGTCCTTCACATGCTGATATACAAGAGAGGGAGTTACACAGTCACAAGATGGAGGAATATAAAGCAGTATTCAATGTTTAGTTCAGATTAGCTCCACGTCAGAAATGATCATGCTTGTCATATGTCTATCTCCATAGAGGCTGAATCATCATGTTAATCACATAGCTATCATATGCCTAAAACAGTCCTGATGCTCTTCTAGGTCATCATAAATCCTGTCATGTACACAGCTACAGTTGGGATACCTTTGTTATCATGTGCTACTCTGATATTGGAAGAGTACATTGAGTATTTTCCCAACACATATGGTAAAGAGCTTACTCATGTGGTCATTTTCATTACGAGGACTCATTGTTATGTATGTCCCTGATCAAGGGGACTTTTCAAGTGAGTAACAGAGCTTTGTTTGGTTCAAGAAAGGTTTTTTTGTCAGATAGACACTTTTTTTCTTTTATAGAGTAATATGTTGGTTTTCTGTTGACACACAGTAGTTTGTCCTAAGCCTTTTTCACTGGATGGAAGAACGAGGCCATGGCCCCTACTCAATCAGTTTTTCAAAGCGCAAGATATAGAGTGCAATATGTTTTAGCCGCTTGAAACTTCAAAGTGTCTCACAGTTTCACGGCTCTGCAAGACAGTCAAAGTGCTGGATATAGAACAGAGAATGTGTAGGGACAGTCTCTGTGTGAAAACCACAGAGAAAAAGCTATCACACTACATCCTAGAGCGAAACTCTACCTCAGTCTTCATGACAGGCCAGACCATGTCATGATTTAAGCTCTGAGGAAACTCAAAGGAGCTAAAAGAAACAGTTTGTAGTTGCACTTGGCCTTAGCAGGGACTTATACACACAAAAGGAACCAACAGAGTTCAAGCACAAGAGCTGCTTTCTTAAATGTTTGGTGAAAGAGTTTGTTTGTAAATGTTCAGGTCGGTTAAGAGAAACAGGGTTTTGTCTCGGTAAATGCTGATTTCAATACACATATCTGAATCTGGAAGTAGAAACTGTGAGAATGAAACAAGATGTTGGTACCGGAAGCGTTGGATTTGGTTACCGTTTGTAGTCCGAGTAGTTTTGACCAATTGGGACTTTCTCTTTCAAAACCAGTCACTTCGACCCCGAAATATATTTTGGTGGTTAAAAAAAACAGTTTTGCAGCTTTTCAATTACATCTTTACCATCTTTGTTCGCCAAGTAGTCAACAAAATAAGCAACATAACATGACAGCTGTTACAACGACACAATTTTGAGAAAAATGTCTCAAAGTCTACAGACAATATTATTCAAGTTAATTTAAAAGGTGGCTCCAGGCTTATATTTGTATTTGTTAGATGGAGCTCATTGGACAAAATATTGGAACCCATTGGTTAGCGTCTTATGACGATTTAGCTTTTATTAGCTCTTTTTTTTATAGGCATTCATATGAAGATACTGTATCTGTTTAGCTCCAAATCCAATTGTCAATAAGCGAATACGACTGATAACATTGCCCTACGCACTGAACAAGAAGTCTTGGCTCTGATATCCTTTACCTGGAAACACAAAAACAACAATCAATGTAAAAAATCAGTGAAAATCAGAACCAGCAGGAATCCACTTGCAGCACTGTGGGGCTGAAGGCAGACCCAACCCTCTTATACATGCTCAAGACGCTGATATCAACCCCCAATGTGGATAATATTCAGCCTAATGAAATCAAACTGGAGCTTTTTGGTACTTTTTGTCCTGCAAGGAATGACAGAATCCTGGTGTTTCCCTTCTAGACCATAGTACTGCAAATCATCAGACGTACAAATTAAAGCCTTTTATGTAAAGAACCATCGTGAAGCCTTGTCAGGCTCCTGCCGTATAATTACTTTAACAGTATCAATTTTCTCTGAGAGCCTTGTTACTTAGTTTTATTCAAGCAGCAACTTTAGTAAGTTATAACAACTTCCTCAGACAGGAGACTTTGGAAACGGTAAATTAGTCCGATGTCTGAGATCTCTACTTTTTACTCGAATTAACACGTCTTGAGCTTGCTTGTTTGAAACATTTTGTGCTATTCTAAGAAGATTGTTGTTTAAATAACAGGTCTTTTAACCTAACATTAAAACAGCTTCCAGTGAAAGGAATCATATATATAAGGTAACATGCAAAGTAATATGATTTTTAAAAATACCCATGTGGATCATCAGCAGTTAGATGGTGTATTAACACACAGTTAAGACAAGGTTGTAAATGTCAATATGGAACCACTGATACTATGTGAAAAGTCATCAGCCTTCTGACATTTAGTTATAGGGCGAGATTAACTTGCAGCCTCCATCTTGGATGAAAGCTTTGAGTTTTTGGCATAACTTTAAACTGTAGCCGCTCTCATTAAAAATACTAAAACCTGAAGGTGGGGTAAAAAACTCTGCGGACAATTGTCACTTGGTCAACACAGTACATCCTGCAAAAAACCTGCAATTTTAAATAATAAGTTTGACCCAGATTTTTTAAATTGTTGACCGGAGAAAGAATGGAGAAACCAGCTAGAATTTGAAACTACGCAGCCGAAAAACATCTGCCCCTTCCTTCAGACTTCCTTACAGAGCCCCTCCTCCAACACACACAAACGCGCACTTGACCAATGAGGGCACGAGATAAGTTTGTGCACAGATGGAAGGCTGACAGGCAGGTAGGCCATCCAGTTATTTTAGCCGGGCCGGCTAAAATGATTGGTCGTGCTTTTTACAGCGCCACGGCTTCCACAGATGACATTTTTTATGTAATTTATTGTCAAAGCATTTAATGTATTCATTGCTATCGGGATGTTAAGAGCATTCCATGGAATATAACAAAAAGTGTTTCTGAAGTGAATTACCTACCCCACCTTTAAGCTGAACCAAGCAGTGGAAAGGAAGCATTATACTTTTTGGGCTGAACCAATGCACATAAAGGTACCTTCTATACAAATGTATTACAAACTTAAAACACAGCGATACTTTGCTGAACTAAGTGACCCGACCAAAGATAGTCTTTTGGAAACCCATGTCAAAGTTTGAAATGTCTCAAAATTGAGATGAGTATCGAGAATTTTACCTGACGTTGAAACAGTCTTACCTTAAACAGCCCTGTACACGGTCACAACATTTCTTTTTTGAGTGCAAATACTTTAGATACGTCTTTCAAGGTTGAGAGGAATTCATCAACTTATACCCTATGTGTAAAATGGAAAATTAAACTCATTAGCTCAGAGCAAAGTGTACAATAATCATATATTTGGTTAATACAGTTCATGAGGGAATTAATACATACATAGGAATACAATTTATTAAGTTATTGCTTGAATTGGATATTAAAAAACACATGTTGTCCTAGTTAATTACGATCATCACACTTGACTATTAGTGCACCTACTGTATATTAGTCGAGTGGTATATTTGTCAAATATTATCTATGTATTCAGGATCCAACTCTAGATGGTAAAAAAAAATGCATAAAATAATTAAAAAGTCATGACATTCTGACCAGTAAGTTTACTTATTTATAACAGTGGCATATGATAACTCTTAATTTGTAGTTTTAATATGCATGCCGGCTATGCATGCTGCTTATTTCTAATATAAGGGGTAAAGGGCAGCTGCTGTTATTCTCTTTCTGTTTTCTTTTGGGCTCTTGCTCAGATCAATATGTACAGCCATATTTCCATAGACTATGTAAGCCACGAGACCTTTCGCAGCATGTGACCAATGGGATTGATTAGTTATCAACTTCTCCATGGATCAGTCATGATGAAAGGGAGAAAAATTACCCAGGCATTACCCAGGCAGCGCACATGGACAAGAATAAAAATTCACCGCATAACGAGAGTTTGTCGACGAAGCAGATAGTGCTTCACGTTTCTATTTGTTCTGCAGCTCATTGCCCCTCAGGTCATGTTCTCAGTGCGCCTCCATCCCTCAGTGTTTGATATTTTCGTCAATAAATCAGCACAAAGCACCCTGTGTCAGACATGCTCACGGCGTCTCAGATTGGCCCCAGTGAATACATATTTATTCCAATGTGGAATTGTTTGATTTTTGTGCCGGCTGCTCGCAACATTTCTGTTTGATTTACTCAAGCCAAAGGTCACCACAGGAGCGCATTAGCTCCCTCATTAATGCAAATGTTTACATGCTTTCCGTGGCATGAACAATAAGTGCTCTAGGATCAACTTTTATGTATTATAAATATATACTGTATACACAATATTAAAATACTGTTTTTGTTGCCTCAATTTGAGTGTTTAAGATTACATCTCTCAAGAAAGTCTCTCTGAATAGTGTCATACAGTTCAGATGAGAAAATATATGAGTTGTTAATACAAACTTATTTTTACTGACCACTGAAAGAAATTAGATTAACCTGTTAACCCCTGAGCCTGTTTTCCAGGTCTCAGGCTCGAAAATGACATTCCCAGAACAAATGACCATAACTTCACTTCTAAAAGGGTTAAATTAATAATCTTTTTTCTCAAAGCAATGATAAATCTGTGAGTTGGATGTAGAAGTGTCAGGATCAATATAGATGTTTTTATTTTAAAGTAAATTCAGATTGAACATAGTAAAATAATATAAATTATAGTGTCTGTCCAAAAGAAAAATTACTTATAGTGAAAACCACCCTTGAATGATGGGATAGTAGACTAAAAGCTTTAGGAATCAAAACTATAACATATAATAAGTACCCTGTATCAAGATTGATGCAAAACAAGTGACATTTGACCTTTTTAGAGAGATTTAGAAAAAAAAAAAACACTTCTGGGGTCATTTGGGTGGATTTTCCATATCTCTGGCCCCCGTTGGTCGATTTTGATGATTGACATCTCTTTTTAACCGTTAGAGCCAATAGAATCAAGGGGAAGTTCCTCAAATCCATCTAAACATTACTCATTGGTGAATGAGTGCTGCGCAGCCAGAATGCCCCGGAACCGGAAGCTGCGATACACTCTGGTGGCTACCATTAGCAGCTAATTTAAAATCTCCGATTTTTAAATAAAAATGGAATTATGGAATGGAATTATGGATGAATATGAGCGGTAGCTAGTGATGGGGCGAGCACATCCCAATCTTTTTTGCCCTCAGTTTTGCCTCTCAGGCTGCCCTACTTATTGGTGAAGGTTGTCGGGACTGTAAGAAAAGAAAATCCTGCACTTAGTTGCAAACTAGCATCCGCTTAAACAACATGATATAGCAACAAAAAAGCTGTTTCTGTATATTGTATCTTTTGAATCAACCATAAATGGCCACAATATCTCTGGCGAATGTTACAACAAAGGGAAATGTAGTTCATGAAAGTAAGCCACAATCTGTTTCAACCAGACAACAATAGGGTCAACCTTCCTTTGTGTCATTGTTGCTTTAGTCACGTCTCTTTCAAGCGCTCTCATCACACTCACATATGATTCCTTTAGCTAGAGCCTGATATAATACGATATGTCTCCATGTTATGACTATTAAGAAAAGGCTTTTAGTATGTTGATAGCATCTCCACGTGTTGTAGAATAATAACGCTGTAGGTAAGGACCCCGGTAAAATTGCCTCTCTTATGCTGCTTTCTTTTTCCTATCCGTGCCCTGGTGGCCTGTTGCGTATCCAATTAATATGTGCATTTAAGCTATTGTGCTGTCAATACTGATGCTGACCCTACAGCACATCAGTTCTGCTTCACATAAGATAATTGTTATCTTTTGAGGCGTGAAAATATACTTTTGGAATAGATTCTGAAGCCCTCATTCGAAATGAAATAAATAAGATAAAAGGTTTGAATGGCTTAAAGAAATACATCATATTACAGACATGAAGTAGTTTCTTTATATTGAGCTAGATAGATACATCTATCTTTATCACTTTTCATTAAAAATGTAAGTGGAATCAGACAGCTTTAAAACAAACTCCCAGCGTTTTCAAATAGATGTATTGTTTTAAAGTGAACTGCATCTTTTTCTGTTTCCTCAAAGCAACAGCACGGCATTTTTTGTTACGTCTAATCGAGGCTATTTTGTTGAGAAGCCCCTTAGCAAAACGCTCTCTGATAGGGAGTCATGCAGTGTGTTTGTAATGATCAATGGTATGTATTTATATAGCGCTTTATCCAGTCTTAACCAGTCCTCAGAACGCTTTACAGAAAGTATCTTGCCCAAGGATACATTGACATGTTGACTGCATTGTTTGGGATCAAACCCAAAACCTTCTGATTTAAAGACGGCCTCAAAGCCACAGTCGCCCAATCTGTCCAGGGCTTTTATTGTGAAAGGGAGGATGGGACCCAAAGGCAGATGGAATTGCATTGTTAATTAACCCATTTAATCCCATAGAGAGGCGAAGTCCCTCCCTTTCCGGTGGACCTCCATGGGACCTTATTTCGGAAAAAGTATGTATTGAAGTCAATGGGGAGAGAAAGATTATCTTTCGATCGCGTTTGAATTGAGCCACAAATTACACATATGATGTTTGTCAATTTAAAAGATAATTTTGCAAGTCAAAAAAAAAAAATGTGTCGTAAAACTGTGCAGTAACACTTTTTTTGTGTGAAACCGCTCAATGAACTACATCTCCCGTCTCGCACCACACACCAAGACGGCCGTCACGTTGGCACATTTCACTTCTTTCTTTCAGAATGAGGCGAAAAGTATTAAAAGAGGTGAAAATCACTACAAGTCTGGGCATGTTGAGAGCTGTACATACACACAAGGGGAGTTAGTCGGTTCTGTAAGAGCCAGCATGCGGGACCGGGATTCTGGGATTTGTAGTCTTTCTAGTTGCATATTTTTCATAGTCTTATATTTAAACAGTTTTACGACAAACTGTGACTTTTTTGACATGGACATTTTTTTTTAAATTGACAAACATCATATGTGTAATTCGTGGCACAATTCAAACAGGACCGAAAGATAATCTTTCTCTCTCCATTGACTTCAATACATAATTTTTCCGAAATAAGGTCCCATGGGTCGGAAGTAAATGGGCGGGACTTTGCCTCTCTATTGATCACAATAGTGACCGTAACACATATTTTCACTTATAAGGCTGTATAAATGTTACTGAATTATATATCAATGTATTTCCAGAAAATATTGGATAAATAAAGGGTCTCAATGAAATATGTGCAGTGTCACATGTTTAGTGTAAATTGTCACATGACTGGAGCTGTTCACTTCCTGGTTGCACCAAGAGAATGGCTGCCTCAAAGCTCCCAGAAAAAGGGTTAGTAAAGAATGTTAACGTAAAGATAGTACAATGATTTTTTGTAAACATAATCTTTAAGGTATCTAGTATTGATAAATGCATTTGCAATAACATGTTGACGGCAACAATAGTGACCGGCGGGATAACACCAGGCTTATAGGGAACCATTCTAAATGGCGGCTATTGTACAGTCATTACATTATACAATAAACATTTACTTAATTATGCCAATGAAAACTCAAGACAGGCTGTTTCAATTTTGTCCCTCTCCTCAGACAGACTATCATGGAGGATGGGACTCTACGTATCACCAACATCTCCAAATCGGACGGAGGCAGGTACACATGCTTGGCCAAAAACCACTTTGGAACATCCAGCAGCACAGGAACGCTGGTGGTAAAAGGTATTTCTTTTTTTTTCTCCTTCACAGGTTTTCACTGCTGTGCCTTTTTAAAGCCTAGGGTTTAAACTTTTGTTAAGGGAAAAAAAATTCTAACTCAAGCATGAAATTGATAATGAAATATATAACCGTTTTATGTTCCTGCGGGTTTGACAAACGTATAAGTCATCCGTGGTTTTGTCAGCTGTGAGTTATTGTTCATGTAGCTGAGTGAGGCAAACCACCGCCGTCTGTAGCTGGGAGTGAGGAATATTTTGTCACTAACATTTAATTTAAAAAAGAGCTGCTGTCGCATTTTCAGATTTGGGTTTTTAAATAATGATGATTATATAGCGGGATTCCTCAACAATGTGATTGCAGTGTGTTTAATTATTCATCACTGAGTTATGGGAGGGATTGGCTCGCTAAGTGAAGTTATTTAAGGTCACTTAATTACACCGAAAGAGCAGAATCTGTCTGGCTAATCTGGGCAAATGAAGCTTTATTACCTTCTTCATTTTAATGGATTGTATAGAGATACAGTTACAAATATTACTCTTTTTATCTTCCATTATGCTGCAGATCCAACAAAGATTATAGTCCCACCCTTGAGTTTGGATGCCAGTGTTGGACAGAGCCTCGTGCTGCCATGCGAGGTGTCCAGTGACTCGTCCGTGAGTCCCGTCTTCAAGTGGTTTTTCAACGGGAAAGCAATAGATTTCAGCAGGCAGGAGCACTTTGAGATGATAGGAGGGGTATGTATTATATGAGTGCTATTTTGGATTTTTGTAAAAATTAAATCAGCGCCAACGATTTGACCTACATCGGGTTTTGTTAAAGCTAGTGCTGATATTGAAGGTTTTGAGAACTATGCTTTTGTGCCTATTATGTCTATGATAGTATATGTTATTCATTTAAAAAAATGTCTGTGTTCTTCTAAATCATCTATTTCCTCAACAAAACCTGGCACTGTAATAAATTCACTTAGAATAAAACAAAACTGACGGTTTCAGACATCGGGAAAGATCTTGAAGGAATAGCTTTGGAGATTTGCTTTCTTGAGAAGATGAATTCCTCTCTCATGCCTGTGCTTTAAGGATTGGGTTTGGGCCAAGCACTAGTTAGCCTAGCCTAGCATAATATTAATAATAATAATAATAATACATTTTATTTTTCGGCGCCTTTCATGACACCCAAGGACACCGTACAATTTGTTTAAAAAAAAAGAAAACGCTAATAGGCAACAGAACATGATAAAAACACAAACAGGAAATCATGGAGGAGACAGTCAAGTGGACACAAATGAAACATATAATGGGGAGCACTACAGTGAGTAGGCAGATTTGAACAGGTGGGTTTTTGAATATGGTGATTGTGTCTGACTGTCGGATGTGCGGGGGGAGGGAGTTCCAGAGTCTGGGAGCAGTGCAGCTAAAAGCCCGAGCACCCATGGTGACGAGGTGTGGGGTGGGGACGGTTAGCAGACCAGCAGAGGAGGAGCGGAGGGAGCGAGAGGGGGTGTACTCCTGAAGAAGGTCAGCCAGATAGGGGCGTGGGGGGGGCAGGTTATGTAGGGGGGGTGGGGGGGGCAGGTTATGTAGGGCTTTGTAAGTGAGCAGTAGGTTTTTTGAAGTTGATACGGGATTGAACAGGGAGCCAGTGGAGTTGGATAAAGACTAAAACCAGGCAGAAATGGATAACTTAGCTTTTTCTGGAGTTCAAAATAATGCCTAGCAATACATGTAAAACACAGGTTTTAACACCTAAGGCTTTAACACTTTTTACTTGATCAGAACAAAAAGGCAGTTAGTGGCTTAAGTTGGATCGACACACTCACATTTCTCTGTTGTTGTGTATACTTGAGCATCTTGAAACAGCTAGCTTGACTCTGTCCTGAAGTGACAAAATCCACCTGCCAGCCTAATGTAAGGTCACTTATTATACAAGTATGCTATTCCAAGATAAGTTGCTGTTGGCTGTAGCTGAACATGTATTGGACAGATGGAAACATAAAGCTATGTATTTAATAAGTGAGCTATCAGGAACATTATCAAATTGCCTCCATTCTTTATGCTAAGCTAGGCTAACTGCCTGCTAGCACTCGCTCCAGAATGTTATCAATCTTTTCATGTTTTTCTTGGCAACGTAGTAATATGTGTATTTCTCACAATGTCAAACTCTACCTGTAAGTATAGGTCAGACTGGATGAATGACAACATAAAGGCACCGAGGGAATGTGTTGTTTAAGGTCGGATTTTACCTTTAAGCCCATGTGTCAGAAACTGGCTACACTTAATTCACAGATGTCAGCTGATGTCACTGTATGTTGTGTCTGAGGGGGAAACCAAACAGGCAAACAGGGATGACATTTCTCCTTCCCCGAGGTGATTTCACTCTAAGAGCAAATCAATCAATTTCTCCCCAAACAAAGGAGCCTAAATGTTTGTAATAACAAGATTTATGCTTCCTGTGATTCTGCACACCAGGCCCTCTGAAGTCGCAGCACAGCACTGACATTTCCACCATGAACATAATCACAACAGCTGTTTAACTTGACTTTGCTTTGAACACAAAGGGAGTGATTTCTGAATCATTGCATTTTGCTGGGAAAAAATAAACACTAACAATTGTGGCTAGAGCCATTTATCTGAGCTGTAAGGGTAAAAACAAACAACACTGATCCTTAGAAGAAACATTTTTATGTCGCCTTCGTTACAGTAAGAAGCTGAATTAATTGTGCTAGACTGTCACATAATCTTTTTTTCTGCTAGTGTTGAATTCCTCCAAGATTCTTATGTGGAGGATTTACTGCGTATGACTAAGCAAGGATTTGTATGTGTGTTTGACTGTTTTTCTTCCTCTGCCAGACACTAATACGAATGTTTTCTTTGCCTTTAGGGATTTGCAGGTGACCTGATGGTGAGGAACATTCAGCTAAAGCATTCTGGGAAGTACGTGTGTATGGTGCACACTGAAGTTGACACTGTCTCAGCAGCAGCAGACTTAATTGTCAGAGGTATGCCTCTTCCTCCTTTCTCACAGTGCTTGTCATTTTTTAGGACTCTGGAGGTTTTATATTCCTTTTTTTGTGGAGTGTGTTTGTTTTTTTTAACAGACATATGGCACTGCTGCCAGGTTAGAGCTGTATCATCAAGATGTCAGAGATTTGGAGAAAAACTGCTTCAACACACTTTCCGGTTGACAACATGAACATTTTGAAATGAATTATTCTGTTAAACGCATGGGTTCTAACTTAAAAAAAATACAAATATCTTGACTGCATCGTTTTGGATATGCAATATTCTTTCTATGTTGACAGTCCCCAATAGGTATAATGCTCAAACATATTCTAATGTACAATTACTTGTTAAACTGTGTTCCCTCAATCCACTGTGGTTGGCAGCCTGTTGTTACTGTTTTTATGCACTATTGCAATTTGAGCACAAAGAAGTGTGAAAATGCTCAAAATAGGTGAAATATTACAAAGTAAGGCTGAAATACAAGAGTTGGTGGATCGATCCATCTCAAATGTGAAAGAAACTTCAACTGAAACTTTCCCTCCACTTCAGAGATGAGACATCAGATCATATCTGGAACGATAAGCAGACCTTCTTCAAATCCATGTGAAAAAAAAAGGAATGCAATATTTTATTCAAGTCTTATCTGCAAGGTTCGGTTTGAATATCAGCAATGGATGGAAATGCACTTTAAATCACATTTCCTTTGCATATGTTTCAGGAAATGGAAGTTTGCAATATTGTTTTCATCTTGCATGTAACACGATGTCATGATTATCTTCTCCGCAGGACTAGAGTTTTCTCAATGTTTTCATCAAAATGAGAAATAAAGCAGTCTAGTTTACTGATAGGGCGACCCAGCATGAAACATGTCCAATATACAGTTTGCAATTTTATTTTAAAATTGATCATTAAGGATAGAATGTTTAAAGACGTCTGATGTTCAGGTGTATATCAGTATGTAGTGTCTCTACTTTAAAGAGTCCTCTCCTGCTGATGTTCAGGTGTATATCAGTATGTAGTGTCTCTACTTTAAAGAGTCCTCTCCTGCTGATGTTCAGGTGTATATCAGTATGTAGTGTCTCTACTTTAAAGAGTCCTCACCTGCTGATGTTCAGGTGTATATCAGTATTTAGTGTCTCTACTTTAAAGAGTCCTCTCCTGCTGATGTTCAGGTGTATATCAGTATGTAGTGTCTCTACTTTAAAGAGTCATCTCCTGCTGATGTTCAGGTGTGTATCAGTATGTAGTGTCTCTACTTTAAAGAGTCCTCTCCTGCTGATGTTCAGGTGTATATCAGTATGTAGTGTCTCTACTTTAAAGAGTCCTCTCCTGCTGATGTTCAGCTGTATATCAGTATGTACAGCCATTGGTGCCATTGATTGCAGCCTGTCATCCCCTTCTCAACATTGTCACTTAAAGTGAACCTATCATGCTATATTTTAATAATATAGTGTTGGACCATATCTATATAAGGCATATTTATACTTTTTTTTTTTCAAAATACCAAACAGATCATGCATTTTAGCCATGCCTCATTTCGCTCAGTTTACACTTTTTTATCCCTGTTTTTGCAAGGGCTGATTCTGTGAGAACAGCACCACCTACAGGCCTGGCATATGTACTACAGCGTCTCCAGCGCTTTCGAACGGCAATGGCCGTGGCTGTCTCCTCCTGATTGGTGGAGTTGGCCCAATAGCCGTAGCGCCACCATCCTGACGTCAGGACAGTGTTCAAATCTGGATCAGTTTTTATCAGATCCGTTGCAGCCCCTTTTTTAGAGATTTGGGTATGGAGGAAAATAGAGAGGGTTGTGTTTTCTGACACTTGGTGAGTTCCCTGGAACACCGGGGACACATATTCATGTATAAAAGACGTACCAAAGTGCATTTTGCATGATAGGTCCCCTTTAAATAAAGGTACTGGTGGCCTGAATAAATCTCAAAAATGCAAAAAATTGATAGAAAATAAATCACATGGTAGGACTTTGATGGATAAAACATTATATGTTGATAGTCATGAAAGAGGGAGGTTGTGAGTGCCAAGACATCCTCCATATAAACAAGGACAACTGCTGTTTTCATTCACGAGGAGCAGTGCTCTACAGAGTGCTCCAAAAAAGGTCATGGAATATAAATTGGAGGGGAGTGGTGATGTCTGCTTATGTCCTCACTCCTCCAGTCACACTTTTGGCCTGATCCTTCTTACTGTAAACAACAAATCACAGCCAGCCATCCACGATTGAAAATTGATAACCAAATGGAGAGGAAAATAATACTGTGCCACTGGAAAAAATGCTGCTCCAAAAACAAATTGAAAAAATATTGAAAACAAGGTGTTTTCACCTTGAAATAAGTACAAAAAGCTGCCAATAGAACAAGTGAAAATTAGCTTGGTAAGATTTACATTACATGTCACTTGTTAGACGCTTTTATCCAAAGTGACTTACATACTCAATACTGTGGACAATCCCCAAAGGAGCAATTTGGGGTGAAGTGTCTTGCCCAGGGACACAACGACATGCTGACTGCAGTGGGGTTTGAACCTGTGACCCTCTGATCCGAACACCAACGCACAACCCACTGCACCACACGCCCCCCATTTATTGATATAAGAAGGGATATTTAGATAAATCAGATCTTGTAATTAGCTGGGAGAACTCATTTTGAACTATATTTTACCAGAATCAGGAAATTCTGTGTAAGCCGCAAATGCTCAAAAGTGTTCTGTTTTCTGATGTTAGTTGGTGATTTTCTAATAAATACAAGTTTCACCTGAGATACAACTCAAAATAAGATTTGTTGACTTAACAAGATGATGCATTGTCTAAAAACAAGAGCCTATCTCACTGCATTGTTACTTCTGAAGTTATTGTGTCTTATAGCAAGTGTAAAGATACATTCTGACTAGATATTAGACAAATGTACTTGGCAAGATTTCAAGTTTTTGTAGTGTGTCTGGAAGGTTCGGAAAGGCAAAGCATGACAGCAGGAGTTGGCAGCCATAGTCAGACTGTGCAGCTTTTACGTACGGATTGTATGTTACTGTGTGCATAATCTACAAGCAAGCATTGTTGATACCCAGTGATCTCCTTCCAGCAGCAGGTAGTCCCGCTGAGGGCTCAGTGCTACTTCTGCAGATTTGTGGGCTTAGCAGGAAATCTCATGTCAGTTACCAAAGTCCCTTCTGTTTGTTTGGTCTCATGTTGCTGCTTTGCCTAATTCCAATAAGATCCCAATTGAAAATCCTGGCTAAATCCCTGGTCATTAATTACCTCTTGTGTTATTGTTGAATAACATTCAAAGTTGAATTCTCTCCTCTTGGTTAGTTTGTTTGGTCAACCATGGCTCTATAAAGACTGCTGTTTGAATGAAGTATTTTCAGCTTGAATTAGAATTCAGTTTGACTCAAAGTAAGAATGAGTAAGATGTTCCTTTAAAAATGGTTTAAACTCATGCTGAGACCCTGCTGTTCTCTGCATGTATTTTCTAAAACATTTTTAATTTCTAATCAGGAAATTTGTGCAAACCTTTTTGAACAACAATGTGCCAAATTGTCCAAGAGGAATATAGCATGGTGAAAAGTCAAACAGTGTAACTCGTTCAAAATTACGAGGTTGATTTTCACATGTTGAAAAGCACTCTAACGGCCCGTCCACACAGCGGCGTGCGTTGAAGCTTGCCGGCGGGCGTGTCTGAAACTCGACCAACAACCAATCACATGAATCTCCCGCCACTGACACACAAGCAGCGGTTTGATTGGCTAGAGCTTGTACTGGCATATGATTCGATTGGCTGACGCTTCTGCCGAGGCTTCAAAAGTTGAACATTGCTCAACTTTTGCAGCGAGCCACGCCAGCAAAGCTCCCCTTCGCTTCCCACAATGCAGTTCGGTGAAAAGTGACGTCACCCAAAAGTGACGTCACCCAAGTGTGTCACCAAGTGTGTCACCAAGTGTGTCACCAAGTGTGTCACACTCAAAGTGAATGGTGAAGCTTTCAACGCACGCCGCTGTGTGGACGGGCCGTAACCCTAAACTTGGTCATGAAGTGTGCACCTGTGGTTTCTTTGAGTTGTGGAGAATAATCAACTTTGCATGTGTAATTGACAAATCATTCTGCGTTTCAACTGAAGCCAAATAGGCTCTATAGCAAAAGATGACCATTTGCGAGCTATGCCACTGGTATTAGATAATACTCTTTCTGTCGTGGTACAGTCTAATGTATATATATATTTTTAGCCAACATTATATGGTTACAGAATAACAACATGGTTAGCATTAAAAAATACAAGTTAACGTGATTGTGAACCTTGGCTATCTCTGAATTGCCAAATCTCATGATAATCTGTCGCTGAGTCTAACACAAACTACATTTTTCTTGTGGTTTGTCCATCTGAATAATTACATCACATGTTATATAGCTGACACTTTAATCCAAAGTAACCTTCATTCAATCGGTCAGAATATTCTGTGTGACTCCTAGCTAACACTGTTAGCTTGTTTGTTTGACTCCTAGCTAACTCAGCTCGTCCATTCTCATTAGCCAATGATCTTATGTTGCCCATGATGAGACGGGGGAGACATGACTTATATTTCATTTTCTACATAAATCTAAACCAACCTCCCTCCATCTCTTCGGTTTATACCTGCATACTGATATATGCTATGTGCAATATTTAATTTGGCACAATGGGGCAGCATAATCAGTACAAATCTTTGCTTAAGTTCACTTCTCCCATTGGAGTAAATAGATTCCCTTAAGGTGCTTAGTGTTGGTATAACTCACAAGACACAGATACAGGAAAAAACCTCTAAGTGTACCATCACCTTTCTCAACCCTCTAAAATAAGAACACTCGCACAGTAGATGTTCTAACTTCAGTGAACTGCACTAATCAGCGTATTGATTTGACTGATACTCGCAATAGAACCCATTATATCTTCACTAGCCCTGAATGGAGGTTGTTATCTGAGTTATGAATCACCCTTGAGTCTGCCGTGCCACCCTGAAGTGATTTCATTTGATTCAGCTGCGATGCAACTGACGCAGGTGTCTGCCCTTGTTTCTGGATATTTCTGGATATTTCTGGATGTTTCTGAATGTTTCTGGATGTTTCTTGATGTTGCAGGACCCCCTGGTGCCCCTGAGAGCCTGGTGGTGACGGACATCACTGACACCACTGTGCAGCTGTCCTGGGGCTCTGGACCTGACAACCACAGTCCTGTCACCAGGTACATGGTGCAGGCCAGGACCCCCTTCTCCATAGGCTGGCAGACTGTGAGAACAGGTAACAGCTAATTATTTTTTATTTGATACATAAGATAAATACTTACTGCTTGGTTAATAGACAAACACAAATGATCACAGTGTTAAATTGGCCCACTTTAGGCTCTGCATTTCATCATATTGCATTTAGAGTTAGGGTTAGGGTTATGGAGATACTGATATTGGGGTTTGGGTTAGGGGTTTAAAAAAATAGTAAAAAAATATCCAATAATATTAATTTCCCAGCTGTTATTAATTGTGTACGCAGACTCATAACTTCTATTGTTAAGTCTTCCCTGACCAGTAAATGCAAATGCCTCAAGACTCCAAAACCCATCTATGTAATACACACTTTCTGTTTAAAATCTCAGATTTCTGATATAGTTTTCTCAGAAAGTTGCATTCACCACTAAAGAGGCCAATAAACAACTGTTTTTACAGTTAGAGGAGCAATCTGTGTTACAAGTAAACTGATATTCATGTGTAAACACCTGAAGTGCCCCCTTATTTTCAAATTTAAACGTTTAAAAAAAAATGTATTTGGCAATGATTTGAGCACATTTGAAAATAAAATTGAAATGTATTTTATGAAGACACTGCAATTCATCAAACATCATTTCTTTATTTAAGTTTCCCATTTTCTATTCTTCTATCAGATATCAATACAGATATACTGTAGCTGTCACCTGTCAAGCTTTTGTTGAAACAGCCACTGTATATGTGCCTGCTATACCAATTACATTTTACGTTTTTCAAAATAAAAAAACAAAAAGCATCATTCCCAATCACAGCCGTTAGGATCAACGATGGCTGAAAAGCAAAGAAATAACACAGCAACTGACAGTTAGGTAACAGACTGGATTACATTAAAGACACAATGAAGTCATTCAAATCAACTAATGCACTCCACTATATAACCGTATAATAAATCCTACCTTTGTGAAACTAATGATATTCATTTTTTTATTGAGTACCGTATGTCATAGAGGCTTTTCAACTTAGACTATTGTAAGTGTGATTGTGAAAGGTTCTTTAATAACACAGCAGGATACAGGAGATGAACTAAGTATTAGAACAAAATGTATCCGTATTCTCTGGTGATAATGGAATAGGAAGTATTATTGCCTTTATAATAATGTATTTCCTTTGGTTTCCTGTCATAAAATATATTTGTTCTATTGCTAATGCTCCATATTTACCAGACTACAAATGAAAGTAAAATGACCATGCTTCTTGTAATAGAGTGGTGCAGTAATTAGTCCTAAAACGTGGAAAAGACTTAGCATTTTACCACTTCAGCTTTCCTCGTCTCGAAGTCAAAGGTTTTTTTAACATGATTTTGGTGAAATATGATGTGTGGTTAACAAGACCTCTTGAAAACATTTGGCCATTTTGTTCTACGACATAAAATACATAAGCAAATACTCCACTTGTGAATTCCGAAGTTGAGTCCGAAGTGTAATCTAAACGATGGTTGCTAACAAGTGGCTGAATGAGACTACTTAATGTCATCACGCTGACACAAATCCGCCATGAATCTAGTGGTTGTGACGCGCAGCCATACGACTTTGATGTAGTTGTTTAGAGCCTAACGTTAGCTTTTTAGATCTGCCGATAGCATTTACGCTTTAGAACACAATATGTGAAGATTATCCTGCTGAACAAAGCGTGGTAAGTATAAAAAAAAAGTGTGTTGGCCACAAAACTTATATTAAATATATCGAAATCCAATAAGGAAACCCAATTGCTTTTTGTAGAGGGAACCCTTGCTATGCTGACTTCTGGTTATGGCATTCACAAATACATCATTGCTGCACCACTCTATTGGAATATATAATCAAATGTATCCATTTAATTTGTGATGTACTTTAGTTTGGTGAAATGTTTTCTATTTGTCGGAAACAAAATGTGAAATGTGCCTCAGTAAAACAAACCAAAAAACACATCTAAACTCTAAATTCTTTAATCCTAGTTCCTGATTCTGTGCCTGGACAGATGATGCGTGCAACAGTGAGAGATTTGAACCCCTGGGTGGATTATGAATTCAGGGTGGTTGCAATCAACAGTGTTGGTGTTGGAGAACCCAGCACGCCTTCAAAACAGACCCGAACCAAAGCAGCAGGTACCCTCTCAGTTTGTTGTCCCTATTTATAACAATCAGTCCCCCTTGTAAAACGTGATTCAACCATTTCCTTTAGTGCTCCATGTGATGGTCAAATGTGTTGTTCGTTTTCATGAAATTGCGGTCCACTTTTTAATATCAACACTACTTTGTGTTTGTCTGCCCATACGCTTAATTAATCGACAGAAATGTGTGACCTATCCGCACATGAGGCATCCACATGAAAGTGTCTATGTTCGAGCTGGTTAGCTGAGTAATTCTATCCCGCTGGTTGAATCACAAGGGAACAAGTTTCCTGCCGTGCCTCACACATGGCGCTGACATACGGCGCTCGGCTAATAGCGTCACCTTACATGGGCGGTAATGCAACTGTCAATAAAAACCCAATTCCTCCGCCGTGGGATAAACGTGTTTTTTTGTAAACAAGAACTGTTATTCAAAGCTCTGCAGCACCTGCCTGAGACTTAACAACCCAAACGAGGAGATGATTATGTTTTGTTTTTTTGCTTAGTTCCCAAGGTTGCACCAGTTAATGTGAGTGGTGGCGGAGGAGCTCGAGGAGAACTTGTCATCATGTGGGAGGTAAGAGGATTATTAACATTTCTGAGTGGGCATTCATTGTGACAGAGCATTCTTTAAATCTTTAGAGGAGAAAAGACTTTTGGCAGAGTCACTGTGTTCCTGCATTGGCCTGGCTTCAGTGGAATGGCTTTTAATTAAAGGCAGAGCTTTTCTGATTTGCTGCCTGCCTGCTGACTCCCCCCTGTTGTGTAAATCAGAATAAGGATACAGAGCTAGTGCAAATTTCATACGAGTAAATCCAGAATGAGGTGACAACTTTACAATGTTTTGGATGTGTTTCTAAGAGTAGAAAGTTGCTGGGTCGGTGCATTTTCTCCATAGTTTGTTAGACATAAAACACTATTCTTTGACTTTCTTTTACAACTCCCCTAATTCAATTTCTGCTCACAGTTGTGTGGGTCAAAGGCGTAACTTTCCTGTCTTCTCTCAGCCGGTTTCAGAGGAACAGCAGAGCGGAGAGGACTTTGGCTACGTTGTGGCTTTCCGCCCACTTGGCAGCAGCACCTGGATCCAGACAGTGCTGGTGTCGCCTGATGCATCGAGATATATATACAGAAACGAAAGCATCGCTCCTCTGTCCCAGTTTGAAGTGAAAGTGGGAGTCTACAACAGCATGGGAGAGGGGCCGTTCAGCCGCATCCTCACTGTTTTATCCGCAGAAGAAGGTGAGACAATTAACCTGCACATGCTGCAAACAGAAGTTGATCACAGTGACTGCGCTCTTAATTGCATGCATGCATAATTCATGTTTTTAGAGCCCTCTGAGGCGCCATCCAGAGTATGGGCCCATGCTGTGTCAGCGTCTGAGATCGAGGTGCACTGGGAGCCCATTGCCCCCGGGTCCAGCAGCGAGAAGATCATTGCATATGAGGTATGTAAAATAAAAGTTGAAACAATAGTGCCGAAAACTCCAACAAGAGTAAGACAATAATCCCAGAATGACTGACAGTACAATAAGCCAGCGTTCTTTGGAATAGAACCACCAGTGGCGACAACGTGGAAATGTTCTGACATTGAAATACTGCACGTGGTGAAGCGGCAGTGAGCTAATCTAGGGGATGAAGAAGTCTGTTGGCAGCCGTTCCAGTCTCCAAAACACCTCGATACCAAGAGCTGCCTGAGAGCTCTATTCAGAAAAAAATAAATAAAAGAAAGTGTGAACATCATACATCACTATCCTGTACAGCAAACACTCCCCTGGGGGATTTGGCTGTGGAAAACCTAGATAAAAATAACATTCTCTGCTGATACTTTCCAAGGTAGGGTATGCCCAGGTGGCTCAAACTACGCTGAGAAGCTTTGAGGTCATTGCAAGTGTTTGCTACATATTGTTATAAAATAGGGGTTTGACGCACGACAATGCCAGTTTTTGGGCGCTAGACGGAGCAGTTTAGCTGAGGTGAGACAAATGTTTGCATGAATATTCATGCTGCAAAATGAAAACACTATTTAACACAGTTCTTGCAACTGGGTGGACCAGATTCATCCGACATAATTTCAATGGATCATTAAACAGTGCCACCTGGTGCATTGTTTTCAGCAATTAAGTTGCCAATTGTAGTCAAGTTATCAAGTAATATATTCTGAATGAACATATGCAGAGTCAATTTGTTGAAAGTGACTCATTTAATGTTAAGTTAAGGTATTTAGTTTCAGAAATGTTCCAACATTGAGTGTTTATACAAAGAGTTTGACATTTAATCACACATAAAAACTGTTTTGCTAACTGAACAACCAAAACTTGATTTGACTAAACAACAAAGTTTACTTTTCATTGATACCCAAAAGAACTCCTCCAATATTACGTGCCCATAACATTCTTCATAAGGTTTTGAGGAAAACGCATTCGCTTTACAGAGAATTCTACAGGTTACAGATACAGTTTTGAACACATGGTTGACGAGTCAAATTGGTTTTGGTCTACAAAAGTAGGCTACTTGGATAGGTAAAAATAGTGCAGTTGGTACGTTATTAAAGTCACGGTTGTATATTTGAACTATGGTCAATTGACTTGGTTTCATTAGGGACATGAACAGTAGTTTCCGTTTTAAAGGTTGGGAAAGAAGGAGGAAATGAGTTTAGCCCCAACACTGCTCTGGATTGTTACCTCAGACAGGCGCCATGTGTTTTTCCAGATATGTCTCATGTAGGGCTTCATTTATTTAAATCCTAGAGTGAGAACTTGGCCAATACAGTTGCTATTAGACTGAGGGCAAATATGTGGTGATACAAAGAAGAACATCTCAAGGTGTGGAGTGGATAAGTAAACAATTTGCCAATTATTTTCTATTTTTCTCCCCGCAGTTTGCTAGTTGCCTAGATGTAAGGGAATGGTTTAAAGGGGGCACTGACATTTATACACACAATAACTGATGGCTACATTGGAAACAGGGTTGTTAAAAGTGTCATCACGTTTTAAGCTGCTGTTATTCTCCCATCCAACAGATACATAAAACCATAAGCATGACCCCCTCGCTGTGCTGGGCTATTGGAAAGAGTATATGTAGACTGCAGTGACTTTATTGTTATATCTTCATACTGCTAACAAAGGGGTCAGTGGTGTTGTTCATGAAGGTTATTCTATAGAAAGATACATTGAAGAGACTCCTTTTGACAAGCTATCCCTGACATAAATGTGTTTAAGTAAGTTGGCGTACCAACGACTTGATTGGATTAGTTCAAGTGGCTCGTCAGTAAAAACGGCAAAAGACTTGCATTTAAAACGTGTAAGTAAAATGGTGGCTTGTTGGCTAGCACATGGTAAGAATACCTGCTGTTCCTGAGTTTCGAAATAAATAGTTGGAATAAAAACTTTATTATCTATGGTCCCCTTAAAGAAATCTTGAAATAACTTCCTTCTGTAGTTCTGCCTGATGTCCCAGACGAGGATGTCCAGAACCTCCTGAGAGAGTGAGACGGTGAAACTGGAGAGCACAGCTCATTCATAATGTCCTGTCTGTATGGTCTGCCAGAACACAGTACTTCGCCAACAATATATTTCATCAGAGAGCTGTAGTTTTGGAAACAAAGACGTGATTTCTTTTTAGAACCACGTACAAGTGATTTTTGTATTGAGAATGATATAGCAAACACTACTGATTCATCCGCTTTACAGTGTTAATCATAGTCTCTAGGACAGGAGTGTCAAACTCAAGGCCCGGGGGCCAAATCCGGCCCGTGACTTCATTTTCTGTGGCCCCACAAGAGCTTGCAAAGAATATTATATGTTTATTATACGGTTACTTGATGATTTACAGAAGCACGTTGCCCATAAACTACATGTCCCACAATGCATCTCAAATTAGACATTTTTCTCAGAATTTGACTTTTTTTCTTCTAAATGTGCCTTTTTTCTCAGAATTTGACTCTTTTTTTTAAATGTTACTTTTTTTTAAAATGTCACTTCCTTTATTTGAATTTTTTTCCAGCTTTTATTTTAAAATCATTTTGTGACATTCTTACTGAAGAGACTTGCAATTATTTGCCCCAGACTTCTGCTTTCAGACGTAGTTAATTATGAAATTATTACCCTATCTGATAATAATCCAATGAAGAGGCAATAATGTAATATAATACATTATTTTATATATATATTTATATATAAGTTACAACCGGCTGTTTGAGTGCAGCCATAATGCTGATGTGGCCCGCGATTACATTTAGTTTGACACCCCTGCTCTAGGATGTATGCCAACCCTAATTCTGATCTCTAACCAATGAGCAACAGCCAATATGTTTTATTGCGTTTTAGCAAAACGTTTGGTCCTTGTCGGAACGAACGCTATGTTAGTCATACATTTCTATAAAACCTGTATGCATTTATTTAAAAAAGGATCCAACAAAGAAATAATCACTGCAGTCTGAGCTGATAAAATCCTCTCCTGTGGAGCCGAGCGCCTGGAGAATACTCCGGTCCCAGCAGGATAGATCAGCCCCAAAGGGCTCTCCATGCATAGTGGCAAACAAATAATATTTAATCATTGCCTTTTGATATTAGAGAAGTGCCATTTAACATACTGGACGTGTTAGAGGATGACAAATGCACATTCATGTCACTGAAAACAAGTAGAGGACGAGTGGCATGTAAAGCATTTCCTCAGTGGCATTGTCGTCACTGTTGTAACTTATTTTATTTAAGGCAGTAAAAACATTTGTTTATTTGCCTCTTGAGAGAAGTTAAGGGTAAAATGTTTCACAGGAAATGCTTTTATTTTGAAGTGCTAGTATGTGTCCTGCTCTTACACCTTCCTGTTATGATTTGGAAATTAATAAGAGTATGTCGAGTGCATTTTCTCCGTCTTCCACCGTTCTTGTTGGAAACTATTAAATTAATAATAATAATAATAAGTAAACACGTTCAGTTTGGACAAGATTCGCTTGGTTCTTCATTCGAAGCTTCTATTATACAACAGTCACATACCGCTTTGATTGGAACAACTGTTTGAAAGTTATGAGAGATGCATCTCCACTGGCTGAGAGGATGATGACTCAACACCACACCCTACAATTTACGTTCCACTTCACCCAACCTTTTGGTTCTTGTTCTGTATATATGAATAGAGATAGCAGGAGCTCTTCGAGTACCCCTTCACTGACTGAACGCTTTGAACCTAAGTACAGCTCCAACAGACTGAGAAAGTATAAAATACTCCAGGAAACTCAACCTCTCAACACTTTGAAGCACACACGATTGAGGCTTTTTGCGTCAAGAACTAAACACCACTACAAAAGTCGTGAACATGGCAGGATTCACTTTTGAGAGGGCAGTGTTTTGCCCTTTTGCCTCACTCTATCTTGGAGAATGCACTCGGAGCGTCGGGATCCTGATCACCATTTCGGTCTTTTTTTTCATTAATGACCGCCTTGCCGCACATTATCCCGCCTCTTGTTTGGCAACTTACTAAATAAACTATTGACCTGATTTTGAATACTAATTCAATCATTTTTGTATTGATTTAAAAATCATCGTATTGCTTCCACTAAGAACAAAAAATAGTCCAAGTTCCAAGTTGGTACGATAGCAACGTAGTGAAGGCAGCACTGATCTGGGTTTTCTGTAACTGTCCAAGTCTTTTCACATTTTCATTTCCATTAACCAGACTTTAAACACTGACAGAGCCCATACTGTTTTCCCGTTATTGTTGACTTCCTGTCTTCTTCTGTAGATTTCTCTGACGTCTTTTAGCCTCTTTCCTTCTCTTGCGTTCTTTTTCTTTTCTTTACGGGGAGAGATTAGCCATCATGAATCCAACGTTTCGTACTCCCCACAAATATAACACAAGTATTCCATGGTGTTTCTGATGGAGAAGACAAATCTTTGTTGTCCACATCTGACGTCGAATTGACCGGACTTCTTCCTGCGGATTGATATGATTGCACATAGTCCCTTGATCCTCCTTCACAACGGTCTGTCAGTCGGTCAAAACCTCTGGAATGTCCAAATTGAACAATAAGAATTAAGTATTTGACTAAGCTGTGTAATAATTGGACTGTAGAGTAAACAATATTTATCAAACTAAAAAAAACGACCTATTATTTTTCGCAGATAAACTCAAAAGGTCATGTTTGATCTGTTCCCCTCCTATTTGGAGAGATTTCAAGCAAGTTCGGATTGAAAAAGCTAATTAGAAAAGTTTGTTTGTTATGTGGCGTGTTTGAAGGATGACATTTTAAACCAAGCTGATGTGTACATTTATATTGATAGCAGTATTAAACAATGTATGTACAGACATATTAATGCTACACTTTCACACTGCATCTCTGCAAAAATAACAATCTAATCATTCCCATAATGAAAATTGGCTTTCATTTATTTCTGTTACGATCTGGTGCTATATAATTCGAAATGTACTTGATTTTCACACTGTTGATAACGCCCCTTGGAGAGGTTCCAGACTAATTGGATGAAATGTGGTCATGCATTGTCATTTATTTTCATAAAGGACAACACACATTTATCCCTATTTCTGTAAATATGCCAATGTTAGGTAGCTGGCTAATTTCCACCTGCCAGGCTAAAAGGGTCCCTGGTAAGTTGCCCACCAGCATTGTCTCTGATTGAAAATGTAACAGTAATGGTTTTAATGTTACTGCATGACTTCCTACATTTCACTAAGCCCTGAAACTTCAGTGATGTCCAGCTTTCCACATTACTACTCCAAAGGGCTGGTGCTTTTTACACCAAGGGTCATCGTTTTTATAAGAGATGTATTACATTTTGACTTATCCAACTTACTCTTTAAAAGTGTGTCATGTTATACACAAGTCAGTAACCTTCCCTATATCAATGGATGTCACAGAGCAGGGCGAGTCGCTTACATGACTCTAAACCACAAAATGTAGTTATTTAACAAATGAGGTGCTTATTATAGGTGTTAAAAGTACCACTAGGTTTCTACTGTGATGTATTTGTTGACCAGGTATGCCAATTTCTAACAGCTTTCATTAGAGCAGTATCCACTTAATTCCTTACACTCTTGCTCCTGTATTTTCCTGATTGGACAAAGGCTTTAGCAAACATTCCTTTCATTAACAGAAAAGCTCCTGTTTCCTACACCAGACTACTTTCTGGAAGAAATTCCCAAATTATTAGGCAGATTTTTATGCATGTTCTTTGGTAGCTTCAGCTGCTATTGATAATTTGGGGTTCAGTTGGGAGCAATCTTTAGACGTAACACATTCTGTTGTCTTCATCTCAAATGTTTTCTACTATGCAGAGAAATATAATATGAGGCCATCAACTGAAAACATTGGAAGTTTACACTTGACACTGTACTGTAGGCAAAGTCACCCAATCTCTAAATTATCTCCACTGGATTGTGTATATAAATTCAAGCTTGATATAAGAACATAACAATTCAATATCTCTACTATACACACAAACATTGGTATTGTTGAAACACTGGAGGTACTGTATGATGCACTTTCCTGCCACGGTCTCTATAAGACTTTAAGATGCAGCTTAAGTCTCCTTAGATCCCTCTCTTTCATCCCTCTATCGGTGTTTTTAGATTCGTAGCAAAGTTGACTAAACTCCTTTTGCTCAGGTATTCTCCCAAGCGATGGTATAACTGCTTTAATTAAACTGCTGGTTTTAGAAAAAATCCCCTAGATGCATCTGTTATCAGCAACTCCAGGCCCTGTCGCTAATCTGCTTTCCCGAGCAAGATCGCTGAAAACCTGTGTGCAGCCAATTGAATAAGTACCTACTCTCCGGCCATCTGTTTGACATTTTCCTGTCTGGGTTTCCTGTCTCGTGTCAGGGTCATAAATAATTTCCCTATGAATACAGATTCTGAAATGCCTTCTTATCATTTCTTGCTCCCAGTGCATGCTTTTAGTATTGTTAGATACAGTATCATTCAAAATGCAGGTTTGACTGCCTCAGGAATTACAGTAGAGCAGCTGATAGTATGGACGTTTTTTGGTCCTTGAAACACTGGCTAAGCATATTAAAAGACTTAACTGAGACAACCCCAGAAGTCTTTGGTTTGAATAAACTCTATTCTGATTTGACTGAAAACAAATTGGCCGAATCTTGGCCTGAGTGTACACCAGAAGCCCAAAAATATTGCCTGTTGCCCCCAAAACATATCATTGACAGCCAATAGATTACGAGATTCGTGACAAGCTATATGCACTCTATAAATAATACTCTATTCTACAATATTCTCATTATAAGCACATAGTGTGTCTCTTAATAGGAAATTGGCTAAATAAATAAGGTTTGATTTGACACAGATGCAACAATTTTGTACCGGCTTATGTTTTATAAATGGAAAATGGAAAAAGGTGAAAGATGCTGAAGGTCCGTTGGTAACCTTCCTATCTTTGGTCAAGGTTCTCTTCTGGGAGGAAGGGTCTGAGCAGAGTGAAGCGGAGGCAGCGAGGGTTATCGACACCACGGCTCTGCTCTCCGGCTTGAAGGGCAGCTCAGCCTATCAGATCGCAGTCAGAGCCCAGAACAGCGCCGGCCTCGGACCCTGCAGCCACGCTCTCAACATCACCACCAAGAAACCACGTGAGGCCAACCACAAAAGCTTTATGTCTTTTTTCTTGCTTAGCCTTTTAGTCGAATCCCTTTCCACAGTAAGAGATATTTTTAAATACATTTACTCCAATGCCATACTGAATGTATGTTGGACTCATTGCTAGACTCAATACTTCTGTCTATACTGGGCCATGGAGTAGATGGTAGAAACAATTGAGGTAATGTCCTCTCAACTATCTGTGATTATGGAGGTATAGTGAGGAAAATAATTGTATTTTAAATGTATATTTAAAGTACTTGCCGGGAGTCATCTCCTCTGCAAACGATATATTACATTGTATTTTTTTTTTTTTAAAGTAACAGACTATTATGATATTATGGATGTTTTTAGGCGAATACTAATAATAATGGTTACATTTGTATACTTTTTAATACAGTATGAACATTACAGTGAAAAAACACATGATGTAGATTCATAATTTATATATATGTATCTGATGTTTTTCACCTGAAAACATAACAGCAGTAATACTTCCTAAATCAGGATCACTTCTAACTCCTAAGATTATGACGCAGTAAGACTTTTGCTGCTTCAGGCTGAACGATTCATTTTATCCTAATTAGCTGTGTTTTCGCACACATAAATAAGAGCATGCATTTCCTATTTGTCTTGACCTCTGTTTCTCCCAGGTGAGTTCCAGGAGGTTAACGAGTATTTAGTTTGAAATGTATTCTGCTGCTGCACCACCAGATGATTACAACTGTGGTTTGTGCATTCATTTGTGAACCTTGTGTCTATTTAATTACACATCTTGCAGCTCCAAGTCAGCCTCCGGGGAATATTGAGTGGAACCTGAGCAACTCTAAGATCTTTCTGAATTGGCAACATGTCAAAGCGATGGAAAATGAGTCTGAGGTGACGGGATACAAGGTGAGTTTGTCAGAATAAAAGCAGAAACTCCAGAACTGGAAAAACAAATAAAGCGTCAGCAGCTGTCATGCCAATAAATGGCTTTCTCATCGCAGTGGAAAGATAGACCTCAGCACTCCAGTGTGCATTATGGATTGGCCCTGTCTGGCCTTTCAAAATTAAAAGATCTGTTCCAGGTGATAAAACCAAAGGCGTCATGCCACAGACAGCTTAAGCTTCTTCCAACACGCACAACAATGAATCATATTTGATTCCCTTTGCCTACTTTGGTGTAGGAAAGACACAACATTGATAATGCTTTCCATAAACATGTATCATTTATTCTCTAGAGAAATGAAGCCATGCTTATTTAATGATAAGTATTGCCTGTTGACAGGAATAGATTCATACTTTTTTGCAAAGGAACTGCAGTGAGTCAAAGGTAATCAAATACATCACATATTCTTCATGTTTTTAAAACTCTATGGACAGTTTTGCCGCGTGTTTCTTATCAAGTATGAAATAAAACATGCTGGATTTTGATTAAGATGAAATTAGTAAAATGTATAGAAAGGATGCCTCACATCGTGTTATGAAAATATGTTCCTGCACTTTGAATCAAACCTGCACCTCACAAGGCATTTTAAATCAAATACCTCCTGTAGAGAGGGACTGTGTAACCTCAGATTTCCCTACACACACTTTTCCTGCTTTTGATTTGATTTCAATTTCATTTGTTTTCCCACACACATATTTGGACTGTCGGATGAAGTCCTTCATGCAGTTGCTATGGTTCAAGGTTCAAGGCTTTTATTGTCATGTGTGCATAGCTACAGTGTAGCTATGACAATGGCATTCTTAGGTCACAGGCTCCTCCAACAGTGCAACACAATAAAACAGATAAAATAGTACAAGTAAATACAATAACATAGAATATAATAGTAACAGAATATGATAGAAACTGTGCAGAATAGTCTATATACAGTAATTGTAATTGTAATATTGATATGATATATGTGAGTTGCAAACAGATGAATGCTATCAAAGTCAAAGTCAACTTTAATGTCAATCTTACTCAGTTTGTGTTTACAGACAGAGAGACAGAAATGATGTTTCCAACCATCCCGAATGTAAAATTATACAGTATACAGATATGTATATTAATATGTATAAAGTATGTATATCCTATATACACAATCAACAGACACATTTACACATTAAGATAAAAAAACACAACAATCAATATATACAAAATAACAGTCACTTCAATATCAATATCTTTGGTGCAAGATTGTCCATAAAAGTGTCTTGTGCTGGATTTGTAAGTTCTTTCAAAAGTTCAGGTGTTTTAAGAGTCTTATGGCCTGTGGGATGGGGTCATCAAGTTGTATTTTCCAACTGAAATCAAAGATGAAATGTTAATTGAAAGGCTCCGACTCCCCTCCAGGTTGTGTATCGTCAGAACTGGCACGGCAGGACTTCTGTACTGGAAACCAATAAGACCAGTGTGGAGCTCCACATCCCCTCCGGAGAGGACTACCTCATTGAGATCAAAGCTCTGACTGAAGGGGGCGATGGCACCAGCAGCGGGCCCATCCGCATACCAAAGATGTCCAGTAAGTTGTAAAGACTCGGCAGCATGCAGATGATTGGAGTTGGAATTAAACAGAGAAGCAGAGGGATGGGTGCACTGGGTGTAACTAATCCCCCGTGTGACTGATGCTGTTATCAGCTTCAGCGTAGCTTCAACAAGACCTTCAGAATACATATGTAGAAAATAAGACTGCTCCATTCAGGACAGGTTTTCACTTTGTTGTCCCAGGGCACACAATACAATCACATTTTGTCAAAACAGAATCAGCTTTTATTATCAATTAAGGCTAAATTAGGTATTGTAACAAAAGTATGTTTCCATAGTTAATTTTTTTTTTAAAGGTCCCCTATTATACTGTTTTTCATCAATATATTATAGGTCTCAGATATATACAAAACATGTCTCTGAAGTGTTTTGGCTCGAAATACCAAACAGATCATTGCAGCATCCCATAATCCCCTCTGTTTCAGCCCTGTTTCAAAAGTGCTGATTCTCTGTCTGTTACTTTAGATGAAAATAAGGAGCCCCTCCCCACGCCCCTCTGAGAGATATTTGGTTCAAAAGAACACAATGGTGCTCTAGGAGGAGATTCAGGTGATAAGGGGGGGGGGGGGTTACCTTGGTTAGTGATTGGCTAATGGTTACCAAGCCAAAACATCGTTATGACATCACAAAGTGGCCAACATCTGATCAGCTCATTTTCAGACAGGTTTTTATATAAATGGATCAGGACAGAAAGAGAGAGAATATTTCTTCCTGAAACTTTCAGAATCTCTTTTCACAGAGGGGACACATGTTGATGTAGAAGAGACATGAAAAAGTGGATTTTGCATAATAGGTGACCTTTAAACCTTTTTTTAAATCATTACGATATTTTAATCACGTTATTGGTGATACGTTTTTTTCTTGATTTTAACTCATTTCTATACAAACACACCACATCTATTTCCATCCAAACAAATTAACGTTTTACATTTTTGGAAAAACCTGATTTCTACCCCATATACTGTAATGCAAATGTCATCGAATACTCAATAGACATATCATGTTTTTGTAGTTCCATGCTGAAGTAGACAAGGCCTCTTCAACATTAAAGCAGAAGTCTTATTAAGTGAAGATTGCAACAAAATCTTGATGACTTTGAATCACTGGGTGAGGCCAACATGTTGCGGATATTTGATTACAGCAATTTAACAAATTACTTCGATTACTCTGTGGTCTCTAGTCTGTCTTGTAAAATGCATCTCTAAAGGAAGAACACATTCACATATTGTAATCTGTATGATACACATTTAGATTGCAAATGTAAGTGTTAATCAAAAAGGACGGTTTGCCGTTAAAGTTTATTTTTTCTCTTCTTATAGGTCTGAACTCAAAAGGGTCTGTGTGTCAAGTTCCAATGAAGATTTGCAGTTTTATGATGTTTTCTGTATTTGTAATGTTCATTATGTAGCTTCTATGCCTCTATATCCAGCTCTGGGCACCAGAATGAATATAGTTTATAGTTCTCTTCTACACGTCAGATGTATGGAATAAGAAGGTAACTTGACAATTTTTCAACCTCTGGTTTGTAAATGAAAACTGGACGATGTGTGTGTTCTGACAGGTTGTCAAATGCCCACAAAATGTGTCTGGACTGTTACTCACAGGCAAGAGTACAGTTACAAAACACTTTCATCTGCCTATTTTCAGGACCACTGCAACCCTCCAGGATGTATGAGTTTGATAAACGTGGGGATATGAGTTTCTTATCTATTTCCGTTTCCCCCTTTCACTGTCTGTTTCCACCTATTTTGCCTCAACTCCCAAGTTATTTCTTGGCTTGCTGTGACCTCTGAATGTTACAGACCAAAAGGTACAATTGAGCAAATTGGCTTAAGCATATTTCTCAAAACATCAGAAACAGGTAGAGGATCTAATGTTCTGTCTATATTCGTAGAAAGCCTTAAGCTAGCAACTAACACGATTGAACGATTCAAGATTCAAAGGCTTTAATGTCATATGCACACTAGCTACAGTGTAAAAATGGCAATGAAAATCTTAAGTCCCGAGCTCCTCCAACAATGCAATCTAGTTATATAAGACTTAAAACAGTCAAACTGATTAAAAAATAAAAATAGTGCAAGAAGAAACAGAGTAGAATAGTGCAGATTATGTTGCAGACCAATGTGCAAGTAATGCAGATGAAAATGAAATAAACTATATACAGGTCAGGAAAATAAATAATGACACTGGTTCATACATGAAACAAATACCTGATTATTAGTATTTGTATTTTTGTAAATTTCTTTCACACTACACAACCAAAAAGCACATCACAAGTGAGCTAATAGATTTTAAAAGCATTAGCTCGTCATTAGCCTTCCTACCAAACAAAACTGAAGTTTTTCTCAGAAGAGTAACTGATTTTGTTATTTTATCGCACCCTTTAATATCTGTAAGTCACAACGGAGAGTTACAAAGATACAAAGTCATATTTGATTCAACAAAAGTAAACAGTCTGATATTTGGGTTAGTTATGCTAGTATGCTAGTATGCTAGTAGCATCTGCTTTAGCTTCAAGCTGCTAGCCTTAGTGGTAGTAAAGCAGATTAGGAAAAGGCTACAGAAGTTTGCCAACCCCATATTTTCGTTTTTTTATTTGTATTTTATTAATCTGTCTTCAGCCCCACCATACACTGACTCAAGTGAAATCATTAATGCCAATTTATAAGAATGTTGAATGTCGAAAAATCTCAAATTCTACTTAAAAAACAGAAACTTAAAAAAAAAACACTAGTTAGGGTTCTTTTTGGATGGAACATACATGTTAACAATGACCTGACATTTTCATAAAAAAATCTAATTAATTCACACTGGCCAATACTGATTAGGCAACAAGATTTATTGCATAATACGAAGGGTGTCTCTTCTTGGATTGAAACATCCCATAGTGTTGCTTTCTGTATTAGTTAACATTTCTGTACTTGCTGGTTTATTCTGGGTTATAGCTGTACAGTGCTCTAGTTTCTTCTGATTTCAACCCCAATTACCGTGTGTCACTGAATCCATTAGAACAGACAATCTCCATCAACACTTCAATACATGCCTTCATCATCCTGAGAGTTAAAGACAGCCGTGAATGTTTTGTTGATTTTATACAAGGAAGCGTTTTAAACACTTATCAAGAAACTCTTGAATTTACTGCTTAGATAGGTTGCAGATGTAAACTTAGATGAATTCTTGACATGTTTAACAAAGCTGTTTTGCCTTATCAAGTGTATTAAAAAAATATATATTGTCAACCACTCTTTAAGACATACAAATTGTAATTATTTTTGCTTAAGTGCAGGCTTATCAAATGTGAAATATGTTATTGTGTTACTTCATTACTTTATTTGTAACATTGTATTTTGGGTGATATATTGGCAACAATTGTATTTATTTATATACTATAACACCAAATCTAAAAAGAAACTAGTAGTGTTCCCTACCTCCTTTTTTAAGGATTGTTTTATGCATTGAGCTTACCATAAAACGCTAACATTAGCATCCACTATAACCCAGTAAAAATCAAATTTTACATCTTTGCTGATATATAATTTAATCTAAAACAACATTTGTCTCTGAACAAATTATTTTAAATACAAACAGGCTTACTTAACAGGATAACACTTCATATTGCTGAATAATTTATAGGGAAGGCATTCAGCAATATCTAATATGATGATGAACATAATCTGCATTTCAATATTATTACATTCAAGCAAAGGCTAATTGCCCGGGTGCAAAATAGTTTTAATGAGCATACTTTGTAGGAGACAAGTTCTCAGTTACATTGCTGATTTATTAAAATTGAAATACACAAGGTGTCTTTCCTGTTGTTTGTGATGAAATGTAAATACTTCATTATTTTACACTTGTTTGCTCTGTGCAATTTTCTTTGTTGTGTTTGTATCATGTTCTTCACACACAAAGGGTTTGTCTGTTTCAACAAATCAGTGTGACGTTTTTGGGTATTTCTTTTTTAACAGTAGGTTAATCACAAAAAATGTTAAACAACATCTGTCATTAATAATAGTTGTTGTCCTAAAGAGGAAACATAGGATTTGAATTGACAAACGTAGGAGTATAGAATCAAATGTGCGATAAAAATGATTATTATTTCATTTATATTTATAGTTAATGTGTGTTTTACGGTTCAGAAGATCCTACATCCAACCTCACATCTACATGGAATGTTGTTGCTTTGTAGGATTTACTTTGTGTTGTTTAATTATTATCAATATTACATTTTTTTGTTCAACTTTAGCATTTAAAGTGTCTCTATTTTGACTGAATATCTAAATATGATGTCTCAAATGTGTGTATGATGTCTTTCAATTCTTATTAATCTGCTTCTTCAACATAAACTGCGATTTGTTACTTCAGTAATGTAATACCATTGTATTAATATAATAAGATATCTCTGTGAGATGGCAAAAAGACTGAATAAATTCTTCACATTGAAACTCTTTAATCACTGGATGTGTTTTATCTTGTGTGATTCATACACCTTGCTGGGAGCGAGCAGACTGTTTCTTTGTGGGATTGGTCTCTGGAGACTGCTGTGCAGCCGAGTGGGGAATCACACGAAATGTGGTGAGTAAGTATGCTGAGGGGTCCTCGTCCTGCGGGACTGCAACAGGCTATATGAGTGAGAGAAATAGAGGAGGAGTTTTCCCTCAGGACAGAAGACAAATGTGCAAAATAACGGAATATGTGAGAATGCACAGACTCAGAAGATTTTCCATGAGTCACAAACAAATGCAATCCCACGTACAGTAAAACTGTAAAAAGAAGAGGAATATGTCAGTACTTGTAGCTTTAGGTTATTGAAAATAGGACATATTAACTTTTTCAGGTTCATATTTGTATGTAGTGTCTCTACTGTGACATGTCTCCATGCTTTAATGTTCAAAAAGCTCTTTATTTCTCTCACACTGCCTGTGCTGCAAGCACCTCTTTTCACCCTCTGTCTGAAACCAGAGCCCAGTCTGCTCTGATTGATTGATTGGCGGACTCTATTGTGATTGGTCGACCGCCTAGAGATGTCACACACCTAAGCCTATCCCTTACAATCAATTCACTGATATATTTAAAGTGAATTCATACATTGCATTCAGACAGGACCTGGAACTCTTTACAGCTACATTGTTTTATCCGAGCTTTGTGACTTTACAGTTTTATCCAAACCCAAAAAAAAGCTATGAAACCTACCAGCCAAAAAAAACTCAGAGGAAAAGCGGCAGTCTTGGTGCTGATGAAACTGAACATAGCTCTCAAGTATGAAAGCATTTTTGGAATGGTTTGGACTTTTAGGTGTGTTGATTGGAGCAAAAGAGTAATTTACTGTTCAATGTTACTATAGAAACAGTGTTTTCAGTTTGTCCTTGAATTAACACTGCAGCTCCTCCTCAAGATCCAATTTAAATTCCTGTGTCAATTAATATATAATAGTAATCGCATGGATAAGTGCATATGTGAGTTTGGAAAAGCCAGTTTCAAAGCCAACCAATAGCAAACAGACGTAGGTAATGACAACATCACGTGGATATATTGTGTAGAGTTCTTTATTGCTCTCACATCATTGCAATGTGGAACCAAAACATACAGGATCAAACGTACAAAATGTTAAAAAAACATGATCCTTTGTTCGGACAATGGTTTTGACATTCAGTGAGTTGACAGTAGTTGGAGCATTTTGAATAACACCAATAGTCTTTATTTATACAGACAGTAATATGGCAAACATTTATAACTCCAAGAAAACCATCATCTTATCAAACTGTTTTTTTCTAACGACTTTATTTCAGAGTTCCATTCTCATATTATAACCTGGCATTTCGAGGGACAGGGTATTTAATCAAAGTTATGTACATACGCTCGTAAAGTTGATATCAGTAGCAGAGATCATAGTTGAGGCAGTTAAATGTATGATGGATTAGGCAGTTTATCCCAGGCATTAGTCTTGGGAGATAAAATCAGCGGCGATATGACTCCATGGCGCTCACCGGAAGCTTCCTGATCTTGGCTCAACATCTCTGTATCATAAAGAAATTCATTTACTGTGAACATACAACATGGTGGGATATATTTGGCTTTCTGTAAGACTACAACTAAACATTTTCACTTGCACATTTACAAGGTCAGGGTCCATGATTAACTGTGATAAATGCCATGAACTCCACGAACATACATCAATATATACTTGCCTTCAACTCGTTTCTACTTTACAAAACTGCTGCACAATCTCCTTTGACTTTAAGCCGACTGTTCTGCTGGTGCAAAATTCGGCCTTAAATATGTAAAGCAACTAAAAGAACCAGAGCTTGACTCACAGCTTGAAGCTAATCCCTTATTCATGGATCTCCTGAGAATGGCAGCATACGAGGGGTGGCTTCTTTACCTTTGCTGGGCTGTGCATGTTGTGCCGCTTGAAATCCACCTTTTTCTCATTATTAACAACATGTGGGAAAATCCCAAGGAACGGCTTTGGTCACCTGATAAGCGAGGCATGATCTGTCATAAACTAAACCCAAAAGCTCTTATTTTAGTCAGCACATGGAAACATTCCCATTACGCAAACTCCAAAACACAGCTAGGAAGAGTCAAATATGGAGTGGATTGGTGTGAGGAGGTATGGTATGCAGGACGTTCTGTTCCTACATTGAGTTTGAAAATATAATATGATGTTCATATTGAAAGTGCGTTGGGGGTGGGGAGGAACTGACAACATTTTATGGCATTGTGGAGGTGTAGGCTGCGATGTGTGTCAGAAAGTGACAGTGTGTGGACCTGAGCTGAGCTCTAAAGTAGGGATAAGGTGGTGTGATGGACAGAAGATTGGCTGGGAATTAAAAAGACCATGAGCCCTCTCCAAGCACCATGGGACAGCTGACAGGCAGAGAGCTCTCCTCCAGGTTCACAGGGGAAAGGCCCTATAGTGTGGATGATGACCACTGTTGAAGGCTGGGACTGACAAACGTTGCACTCATCACTATCATCATTTTCTACGGTCTATGGATGGCCACAGTTATTTATACAATCTGACTCTAGTGGTAGGTATTGTGCTGTGGATGCTGATATTACACAATCAAGTATTTCATTTTGTCTTAATTTACATTATTTAATTTCATAATCTGTTCTTGTACATATCCCATATTCTAATGACATGTATATAGACTTTTTGCACTACTTTCTATTTTGTATTTTTGTATTTTATTATATATGTTGCATTGTTGGAGGAGCTCAGGTCAGAATAATTTGTATTGCCATTTCTACACTGTAGCTTTGTGCTTATGACAATACAACCTTTGCAATTGAAAGTGGATTCCCGGGGGGGGGGGGGGGGGGGGGGGGAACCAATTACTAGAAACAAATCTGCCCATCATTAATCTCTAAGAAACTGATATTACAAAACTGGAAAAGTAAAGAATCACCCACTCTATACAAATGGAAAATGTTAATGAAATATTATTTGAACATAAAAAAAACAATGTCAATAGATATCAACAAGGAAAAATAATTCAACATAATATGGAACACAATTTACGAAGCTCTGTAGAGGAGATGAGCCACAGTACCCAACACACTTTCACTCCGTAAGCGTCCAGGAGCGACGCTTGGTCAGGGTCCCGTGGCGTCCAATTGTGACGCGCCGAGGCTCCTTCAGCTTCATAAACGGACGCAAAGAGCTTTCAACTGATTGCAATGTATTCCCATCGGCGGCGGTATTTGACGCTTAGGGAAGCACTGCATTCGTTTGTGTCGGAGGCTGTTAAAGGCAATGTGAGCGTCCATTCCCATTGGATAACGGAGAATTGTACACCCGGAAGTAAGTATTCCCCTTACTGTCGATTGATTTGACAGTGATATCTCCACTACTCATCAACTCAAAAACACCAGATTACTGTATCCTTGTTAATTTAACGACATTGATAGGTTTTAGTGTGTGTACAATGCTTTTGTCACGTTTTCCCCTTCAATTCTGAGAAACAAGTCATTTTCTATGAGTTTTGGATGGCCGAAGACACATTACCCACAATCCTCTGTAGCAACCATAGACTGTATAAAACAATTAAATAATACATTATTCCGAGTGTGCTTGCTTTTCTTTTTGAAAGTCATCACATAACGGCATTGTAATACACGTTTCGGCTGCATTAAATATTACATATCTGCCGTAGTTAACTATGTATAGAGCCCTGATGACAAGACTTCTAGACAAACAGGAACTGCCGCCAAAACTGAAAACTTGACGTGGATCTTAAATATATAAGCAATTAAACAACATCTTACATTTCTTTTCACACAATACGTCTCCTTGCAGTATCAACACTAATTCGACTGACTTTTATATTTGATCCAATTGGTAGATAGGCTGTATTTACGCCATAACGGTGCACAGCTGATAGAAAGGGACACCTACTGGTTAAAGCACGTTATTGCATTTTATAATTTTATTATTAGATATTGAAGTGTCATGAAGTCTTGAATGTAATGCCATTTTACCGTCACTCATCCTGTTAAAAAAAATTAAAAAATTAAAAAGAAGAAACGTATCTGCCTAAATGTAACCACATTCTCAGTCGACACTCATGCGTAGCCATAACAACACACTGGTTTTCTTTGTGTTTTAAAAGTAGAGTTTAACAAGACCTTTGAATCCGCCACCTTCAAGGAGTTGGGCGGGAACGATATATAACGAGTTGAAGTATCGTTTTTATAGTAATCTATGTCAGGTGTGTTAATACAGATAATCTTGATTTGAGATATAGCTCAGACCAGTGTTTTGACCTTAGTACTATGGCCGCCTGGTTTAGCCAA